AAGTTGAAGAAAATATAATTAGCGAAGTCGATACCTCATAGGAATACTGACTTAAAGAATAATGCTCTTTTAAATCAAATAACAATAAAAAAAAACAACATATTTTGATTATTGCATAGAATCTATATGAAAAATAATAAAAATATGTATTTTTAGAGATTTTGTGGCAAATTTAGAAGCACTTCCATTCTTAGAAAAACTGTTCCTCAAAATGAACACCTTGGTTATAGATATTACTAAAACTTTGAAGGCGAATACAAAGATAAACTTAGCTATTAACGTCAGCGGTCCAGTATTTTTGTTTCCGCAAAAGTCTTCTTCTCCGAATGTGTTAATTATTGATACAGGTAATATCGACTAACATAAAAATGAAGGTTGTGATAAGTGCTCGTTTTTTAGGTCAACTTAAGGTCGAAAATTTCTTTAAGGATTATCCACAAGAAGTAACAGAAAACATTTTGGTTAAGCTAAATGATGTTATGGCTTCTAGAGGGGTCATGACCTTAACGTCTACATTGGAGATGCAGGTAAATTTTGTTATTATGTTTTGTTACATATTAATTACAGTATTTTAAACACATTATGAATTTATAGTATTTAACTTTTTGTATTTTTTTAGGAAACTCTTATCGAAACCCATGAGTCTTAATATGGACATCAAAAGGTACACCAATTCAAAAACCCCACAGAGTACATGGGATATCGACAGTATTATAGATGCTATACAGATAACCTTAGGCCAAAAAGATCTGATAACCATAATGTCAATTTACACTGACAATATAGGGGAAGGAAAAATTTTGGACCTTTTCCCAACCCCAGTGAAATCCCCAACGGATGCTTTAGGATTAGGTAATGGTATTTTAACAAAACTCTCTTTGTTCAAAAACTTTCTTGGTACACACGTGTGAAACACACATACACACAAAAATATAAGAATATGTAAATGAAAATAACCAAGTTTTCGAGAAGAACCACGTTGAGAATTTAAAACTCGACGTTTCGGCACCCATCTTGGAGCCATTATCAATGATTCAGTTCGAGTTCGGAGTCTCAATCTTCCTACTCCTTTAACTAGTGACGGACCAGTATCGTGTTCTGTAGAAATATAAGAACCATCAAACGGCACTGAAGTCTCAATCTGCCTACCCCTCAGTGTCGAGTGACGATCGGTCTTACCCTGTGCAGTGTCACCATAGGAAGATTAGGGTCTTCACAGGAAATAAAACTCGGTTCGGTATAAAAAACGTTCTAGCAAAAGAGTCTCAGGACAAGCAGGGAGCGGAGCCTCGTGAAGAAAACTCCCAGGGTGTAGGAGACCCTACATGGGAGCCGGAGTATGACTAGGCTTGACTACACATGGCTTGGAAAATGCACCCTTTTTATACACTTTATTTTGTATCTATATGTTCATTTCCAAGTCCAATATAAGGTAGAAAGGCTGGGCGATGCGCATCGACGTACTCATTGGTCCACTGACTAAGGCATGTCTGTTACCTGAACATTTCTTCAGAGTGTACTAAGAATTTTCCTCTCCGTGGTCCGCATTCAGTTCCTTTGTCACGAATATGAGGAACCACGAATATGTTTAATGATGGGTCTTTATAGGATTTTATAAATGTGAAGAAGAGTTTTTTATTTGTGTTCTAGAATGTTAATAATCTTAGTATACCAGTTGTGATTTCTTGTTAATTTAACTTTCAGTAAGAGAAGAAAATTGGATTAGCTCTAACGAGGGTGTTTTTATATTAATATTTTTAATAGGCTTTGTCTCGTTTGTTTCTATATTATAATATTATATTAAAATTTTTATTTTAGGTATTGATGAAACTGTTAGAAATCTCGAAGCCTTTTTCTGTGAACCTAAGCAAAAGAATGTGGTAGCTAAATGTACCATAGAAGAAATAAAAATAATATTATTCTTTGATTCTGGAGAACTACTCAGTTCCCCTATAAGAGATCTCAATCACGGTTTATGTACATTTGAAATTCGTGATATAGATATATCCTTTGTAATATACAATGACAAAAGTTTGGATGGAAAATTGTCTGTAGATTCGATGTATATTGAAGAAATTGGGCCTGAAGCGAATGCAGCAGATAAAATGTAAGTATTTAGTTATTTATTTGATATTTTATCAATTACATATTTTCCATTGGTAATTTGTCACTCCTTCACATAAACAGAGGAGTCTTTTTATTTTAAGCCAAAGAAGCAAATTTTGGAAATATACCCAAATGCATTCTCAACAATTAAAATCAGCTTTTTTCTTGAATAAAGTAAGATCTCGACAATATAACATTCTTATACAGTGTGTCAATTTTGAAACTAACAATGGGCTATATCTCACGAACAAAAGCTGATATAGAAAAATGCTTAAAACCTTAAAATGACATGAAAGAGAGCTCACCCCCATCAACCCCCTAGGTCCCACTCACCACAGCCAAAAAAGATTAAATTGCAAACCCCTATTGGTAATACATCATTGAAAAGACTATAAAAATGCTATCTAGTGATATAAATATTAATTATACAGGGTGAAGCAATAATTATGAAACTTTGGCTTAAATGAAAAATTTAATGAGGTTTTGGTTTAAACTACAAATTTGTTTAAAATGTTAATTAAGTAAATGTTTAAAGTAAGTTCCGTTGTTTTGCAAGCAATAATACAGCCTATTTTCAAATTCTACACGAACTTTGGCAAATGTTGTTTTAGTAATAGCGCGACATGCTTGCGTGATTCTTTCTCGCAATTCCCTAAGTGGCGCAGGTTTAGTTTTATAAACAACTGATTTGAGGTAGCCCCAAAGAAAAAAGTCAGGTGGCGATAAGTCCGGTGACCTATATGGACCAATAGGACCTGGTGCGTAACTGGAGCTGCATAGTGAGGAGGTGCTCACTATGCAACCCTAACAAGGGGCCAATTATAGCATTGCCTAATATTCCTGCTCAATAATTCAGTTTTTCAGGTTATTGAATGTGACCTTCTCTGAATCGATGCGGATTCGCAACACTCCATTACCGACAGTTTTGTTTATTTACATTATTATTTAGCATTAAAGTACATTTAACTGTTAAACAAATATTTTTTAAATGAAATGAAGTTGAATGCTCGAATAAATGAACTTTGAAAATAAGGCTATTATCGAGCACAAGTTAATTAAATCAAGCCCAAGTACTTTCGCTTAAAATAGCATCTTCAGGGGCATCTGAAATAAGCCAAGAAAACGTTTTTTAGATGAAGTAAATAAGTTAACTTCGATAAAAAACTCGAAGTTAATGGATGAAAAAAGTTTTTGAGATTAACGTTTTAGACTTACTTCGTCAAAATGTAAACTATCCGGCAAGCGTAGAATGTGGAAACATTAAAAATAACATAAAATTGTACAAAACACTACACTAAAACGAGGACAAACAGTTTTAAAATTGCCCAATGACAACTTATACAGAATTTTAATATTTGCTGATCACAGATCCATAACTTTGACTGCCTATCAAAGTTGTCATATGTCACATGTCACCGTATCATTTCCGCTTAGATCATTATCCCTCCAGATACTGACAGAGAATGTAGCGTAGAATCTTTAAGTAATTTTAATCTCATCGACTCATGTAAAAGTTCTATCATTGCAGATACTTGACATGTTGATGCAGTAGGCTCTAGTGCAAAATTTCCAAGGACCTCAATTTGGGATGCTTTATTTAGTAAGCTTGGGGCATTCCTTTTTTTTATTTTGCCCTGATCCCGTTTCTCTAAACTTTTCAACTAAATCGCAAATGTACACTTAAATTTTAAAAAGATCTCCACGCGTTCAGGTATACTGTAAACCATCATGACAACTATTAGTTAAATGATGAAAACTAATGACATTTAAAATTCTCAATAAACCAAAAATTATTGAATCTGACCGAACCCAAAAAAACAGATGTTTTCAATTTGTTTTGCAAAAACGGCAAATTAAGTCTTTATTTAACAAAAAAAAAAATCCGGCGGGCACTTATCATTAAAAATAATAATCCGGGAGATAGCATTACAATATAACAGTCTTAGTAATCCGACGGATATTAACATCCTGTATTAACACCATATTAAACAATAATTATGCAGGATCATCAACAGAATCAACAAAAACCTCATTACATTTTCCATTTAAGAGAAGATTTCACAATTATTGATTTACCCTGTATAATTATTATTTATACCATTGGATGGCATTTTTTATAGGATTTTGAATGATGTATCACAAGTAGGGGCCTAGGGGGTTGATGGGGGTGAGTTCTCTTTAAGGTCATTTTAGTTGCTCCTTACTATACTAGAAACCTTGAGGAGCAAAGTGTTTAACCAATGCATCCTTCCTATCATGACATATGGATGTCAAACCTGGACCCTAACCAAGGCAAACATGAATAAACTAGCCACAACAGAAAGAACAATGGAGGACATAACAACAAAAATTGCCAAACTTAAATGGAGCTTCGCGGGCCACACTGCTAGACAGAAAAACCAACCTTGGAATACTACAATACAACATTGGAGACCTTACGAAAGTAAACGACCAAGAAGAAGACCACAGATGAGATGGGCTGATGACATTAAAAGATAGCCTGAACAAATTGGAAATATGTCGCTCAGGATAGAGACCGATGGAAGGAGTTGAGAGAGGCCTATGTCCAAACATGGGACGACCAGGATAGGCTTATGTATGTAGTTGGTTCATTGATTTCCGGGGCATGGTGGGGGCGTGATGGTGCTGGGGGTGGGCGTGTGTGTGAGGCTGGGGGGGGGGGTTTTGGGTCAAGGGGGTTGTTGGAGCTTTTGTGGGAATTAGGGGTTGGGGAGGGTTGGGGTCTTTATAAGGGGGCTTCGTGTGGTGGTCCAGGTAGTGGTCCGTCTGGGCTGAGTCGGTTTTGTGGCTGTTTACTGTGTATAGGGTGCCATGTGGCCAGCAACATCGCGATCGGACCCTCCTCCGGCCAGAATCTCGGTCTATGGGTGGCGCGGTGTGCGTCTCTCCGGCGGACTTGTGAGGAGTTCGCGCTTTAGCGGGGTATTACGCATGTGTTGGGGGCGGCGTATCCAGTAGCTACTTACCGGCAGAGCTTCCTATCGGCGGGGATGTTTCAAGGCTTTGGCCTTAGTCAGGTGGGATCTGGGTGTTGGTCTCATAGCGGTTAGCGGCCTGGGGGACAGGGCGGGGCCGCCCGCTTTTAGGATCTGAGCTCGTTCGGTCGTAAGGTGCGAGTGGCTCTGCGCAGGACACCTTGTGATATTCCTGGGATTTACAAGCTGAGCGTTGCGGTCGGTTAGACAGGGGGAGGATGGGTGGGGCGCAGTGCCGCGGGGCGGGGTAGCTGGGATCCTGACGGTGTGTGGGTGAGTCTAATGGCGGCGTCTTACCGCGCTGGGGGTATTTCTTGGGTATGCGTGCAGAGGTGGTGGATTTCTGTCTTTTTTCGCCTAGGTCTCATGAGACTGCATGTACTGCTGGTCTGGGTTTGGGGTGTTGGTGGGGTCACGGAGGGGAGGCTCTTGCCAAGAATGACTATTTCGCATAGATCGGGTGCTTTTCTTGGCTGCTATACCGACGGAACTGTTCTAGGAACCCTGGCCCCGGCATTCGTGTCTTCGGTCTTTTGTTCATTGGTTGCGCTATGATTTCGTACAAGAGTTGGGATTCGCGCGGGGCAATGCCTGTGGGCGGGTAAAGGGTTGCGAATGGCTATGGGGGCATTGGGGTGTCGCTAGGACCTGCGGTCCGTCTGGGGTGCGGTGTCGCTCGTGGCATGGGGTGAGTTGGGTGCGTTGGGGGCGACCCTGTATAAGTGGCTTGCGGTGGTTTCTCAGTCAAGTACTGTTTACCACATACTTCGTCTTGGCTGTATAGGCACTGCGTATGCGCATATACATATCTGATTGTGTATGGCAGGCTTGAGCTCTGGTCTTGGGGGACAAAGGGAGCATCACCTATTAGTAGATGTCGGCCGTGTTATCCGTGGCAGACTCGCCCGAAATTTTCATTTTTTTTCACGGCAGTCGGTCTATGAAGTGACTGTCTGCTGATTATGCGAATACCACGCCGAAAGTTGACACGCTGGTCTCTCGGGCTGGCGTTGTGCGCTTCTCCCGACTGGTAAAGGGGGGGTGGTATTTGGGATGCCTAGAGGGTATTGGGGGGGGTAATTTGATTAGCGGTAGAGGTCGCGGTGTCAGGGAATTTGAATGTGTGTTTTGTTTGTTGGTTGTTTTAAGGGATTTTCGGCTTGCTGTAATGTATACTTGGTGCTATATTTATTTAGCAAAGATCCTAAACCGAGTGGTAGGATATTACGATACTCACATGATCCCCGCAATTTGTTGCGGTTGGGCCCTGTATAGGGTGTCTTGTTTTATATAATGGATTATTAGAATATAATGTATAATAGTTGATATAACTGAATAATAACCTAAGGAATGAATAATTTATTACTGATTTATACGGAATAATAAAATACGTTATGTAAGTACGGAACCGATCGGGATATTATTGTCAGGATCCATCGGTTTAGTTTATTACTAGATTAAATTACAAACCAAAAGTAGATAATTAAATAAAAATGGAAACTGTAAACAAGCAAAGCACGTGGAAGACGAAAATGGAACGAAAGTCGAAAACATAGGTAAGAGGTCAGGTAGAATGCCGATTTATCTTCATAAAATATGTCACGTATTTCAGCGCCACCTCTCGGCCTGGAAGTATACCATAATATGGCCTTCACATAATTGGTCTGTGGCTTCCACATGATAGGTGCAAAATTTTAAACGTTCTTGTTGTTGATTGGATAGTAGCTCCTACATGATAGGTGTGAAATTTTAAACCTTCTTGATGTTGATTGGATAGTATGCTCAAGGTGAGTGAGCGGTAAATTTGAAAGACTTACCGTACAGCTTGTCACATACGGGGAGCTATGCTATATTATATCATACCCGCTCTCTATAATAATAAATGAGCCGGCATAGACGGAACTAATGGTTCCGTGTATGCAGGCTCACCAATAAAGAGCGGATGATATAATATATAGTATAGTATAGCTCCCCTGCGTGATAAGCTGTACGGTAAGTCTTTCAAATTTACCGCTCACTCACCTTGAGCATACTATCCAATCAACATCAAGAACATTTATTCCAATAGATATTTTCATCGAAGTGAACAATCAAGATAAAACAAAACAAAATTTTCTTTCTTAATTATTTATTTATATAATTGTTACATGTTACAGAGTATACTGTTTAAATTTAGTTTGTAAATTTTGAATTATAAAATGAAGATTTACGTCAATAATTATTATGTTGTTAAAATTTATTTATTTTACCAGAAATTTTTATCAGAAGTCATACCAAATATAAAAAGATTCGAAATAGAAAGAGCTTTAAAAGAGCTGAAAAATAATAAAATTCCAGGACCCAACGGTATAGTTGCCGAGCTCTTGAAAACAAGTAAGCCACTAACCATCCCTATAATAACAGGTATTTAATAGACGGTTCCATAATAGCAAGATCCCTAAAGACTTGAAAGATAGTCTAGTAACAATATTTCACAAAAAATGGGGATAAATGTGATCTAAAGAATTATAGACATGTAAATTCTTGCTCAGTCTCAGTTGAAAGGATTTTGAAACAGTCATGTGTGACAGGCTTCTCAGTTTTTTTCTATAGTAAGGGACTGTTATGCCATGCACAACATGGGTACCTTAACAGAAATTCTATAGAGACTGTCATTTATGATTTTATAACAAAGATAAATGAGGGTTATGAAAACAAAGATATATCCATGGGCATATTTTTAGATTTATCAAAGGCATTTGATACTTTAAATCACAAAATACTAATGGAAAAGCTTTACAGATATGGTATTAGAGGGCCAGGTTATAATTGGATAAAATATTTAAACTTATTGCACAAAAATGTCTTAATAAATGCATTTCATTTAACAAGGTTGTTTTATTGTTTACAATCATATTAAATTCTAATATAGAAATACTTACGTTTTGGAGTTTGATTACTAGTTCCAGGACAAGTATCAATGTTTAATAAATAATTTGTGCCTGGAGACACACTGAAACTATAGCTGGACATGACATTTTGTATGTCCTTTAGTAGAGGCCTTTCTGTCTGGGGTAAATGTATCTCACCCAAAGAGGCTGAAATAAAAAATTTGAGTGAGTGAAAACAATATCAATATTAAAGTTTCAATAATAAAAAAAAACCTGTAACTCCACAATGACAACAAAAATATATGTGCAGTACTAACTTAACTTTCAATATCTAAATCTTAATTATATACCTGGCAGATTGATGGATGGCAAAACTCCTGTTTTTAGTCGATTATTAGGACCAAAATCTTCTGCTTTGAAATGAATGGAGCAAACTCTGTTACTTGTGTAGACCTTTTGAGGATCTTTATCCAACAGGTTTTTATCACCCACTAAATGTACCCATTGATTAAAAAGATCCGCGTACTTTTGTGGATCCGGAAATCTATGTTGTACTTTTCCAACATGTCTGCACACAACAGTTGATGGGAGGCATTTTACCTAAAAATAAAAATCTTAAATCAAATTAAATAAATGTGTATTTTAAACACGTTAGATAAACACTCTCGTTCCATGGATAAATCAATCAATCTACAATATAATCAAAAAATCTTACCACTTAATCAGGTGTATAAAAATATGGAAAAATAGGAATGAATATAAACTATTCTTATGGTCACACAAACCAAACAAAAACACCACTTAATCGGGTATAAAAAAATATCGAAAAATACGATTGAAAATAATTTTTTAAACAGTCGCAAAAACCAAAATAATCGCAAACAAATACCACGTAAACAGCTACACGCTATAAAGGCTTCATTTTGAATTGGCTTTTTGGACGCGGTAGGTCACAGTGCAGGGCTTGTCAAATGTCATGTTCTATGATGCATAAATTAACGTTTTGCACGGCCTCATACGGCCTGGAAGTAAACTAAATAGAATAGCATTTTTTTACTAGAGTTCGCGGGGCATGGTCGAAAATATACAAATATCAATCATCAACTTGTCATTACTTTTGACAGAATTGACATGGCGGAATTAAGCTTAGTTTGATTATTTTATTTGTGACATTCAGAGATGGTGAATAAAATGATTGGTTAAAGTCTTCCTGGGCGAGATCTAGCCACGCATCGAGGTGGGCCGTAGGGCGAGGGTATACCAATAAATCATTCTATTATATTGCGATTTTGAAATACTTTCCAAAAATAATAAAAGGAGTCAAATTAAAACAAGACATGTGTTTAAGCCAATTTAACAATTTTACGAGATTTTCTGAAATAACCTGAAACAATACATTTTAAAGCAAAGTTGTTAAATCTTAATAATTTTTTGCAAATAAAAACTAACTAATCATATAATAATTTAAACCATTTAAACCTAAGCATACGATCGAAAGAAATAGTTCCGAACTACTTGTACGGCAGTGAACTAAGTGAACTAGTGAAAGACTGAAAGAAAACGGGCGGCTAGCGCCGAGCTTGTGTGATGATTGAGACGAGACATCTGGCAACCAGTTCTGTTAGGGTTTGATTTCGATGTCGGTCCTATAAATAGTTCTTTCGCAAACTAGTTCACTGAACTAGTTCGTCTAAAAGAACTAATAAGCACACCTCTAATATACACTTAAATTAGATCGCATCATAGTACAGTAAAAGAAAAATATTAAATGTAAAATATGAAACTGAATACTACATACTTTCCCAGACAATATTTATATTCTGCTTTGAACATTTAGTTGTAATCTTCTGTTATATATCCTATGCTATCATACAGTTGCAAATGGAGTATAGTATTAGATATAGCCTTCATGATTTTGGTTTATTTGTTTCAGAATTCTACAGTCCCCAGCGGACGACAATAAAAACAACAATTGCAATATAACAGTAAACAAGCCGCCAATAATAGACGTAACTTTTCATCAAAACAAAACGGGAGACAAATCCGCAGATGTAATAATAGGCAGGCTCAGTCTCAGTTTCTCGATACCCTTCTCCGAAAAGTTAGCCCTTTTCCTAATCGAGTGCCTTCCCAAAGAAAGCGTTGACGTAGGCATCGTCAATCCTGGTTACGAAGCTGAAGTATATCACACAGTAGCAAATAAAAGTTATGCAACAAGCCTTACCTTATCCGTTAGAGTAAATAAACCAGAGATTATATTTCTTGTTGAGACGACGTCGAATAAGAAGAGATATTTTATTACTAAAAGTGAAATATTAATAGATTATTCAAGACATGCAAATAGGCTTAACCTAGTAATGTCATTATCGGGACTTCATAGTCTCTTTTTTGACCTTAACGAATACTCTGAAGAACCTTACGTAATCCTACGACAATGTGATATCGAGCTATGCAAGTCTTGTGCAGAAACAGGAGAGAAGATTACAATGGCGATATCTTCTATTTATTTAAAGCTTTGCAGTGAAGTAGTACATTCATTCAACGATATTTTAAACGATATCGTTGAACATTTTAAAGTACCTGAAACCGAACTACCTAAAGTAGAAAAAACTAAACCAGTTAAAACTCCAGACGTGGAAGACCTTTGGGAACCAAAAAAGCTAACAGAATTCGTTACAACTTGTAATACCCTAGACAATCTGAAAACCGATAACACTATTTTTATTCACGAAATTCTTCTAGTACCCAAATTTGAAGTTGTAGTTATCTTTGAGCTAGAACAAGTTCAGGTTTTCCTTACCAAAACTACCATCGAGCTAACATTATATGATTGGTCCTCTATTCTAAATTGTACTTGCGAGTTAACTGTGCAAGCCAATTACTTTAATGAAAATTTACAAAGTTGGGAACCAGTTATAGAACCCATTGTAGTAGACGAAAAAAGAATACAAGCCCTGGGAGGTTGTCATCAAAGTGTTCCAAGATAAATCTATGCCCATGCTAGATGACACGGAATATAGGCCAAAAACAAAGCCTGTCACCAAAAAGAACAGTCGATCTGTTACAACAACTGAAGACGAGGATTCAGGGGACGATATGATGTATTTGGAGCCGTTAAACCCCACGTACAACGGAAATAACAGAAGAGTTAAGACTAGTCTTTCTACTTTTCTCGATGATTCCGATTCGGAGAATGAGGATGGAGCAATGGAGAGATTAGCTGCTGCTATTTCAGATTTATTTACAGGTGAGTTTGATACAATAATAAAATTTGTTAGAAACTTCTTAGAATACAGCAATAAATATCAACAAATATACTTCATCTAATTTAGATAACGACCTACGTCATTATCTACGTCAAAGATCGAAGTTGACATAGTTGCCAAAGTATAAAAAAATCCTGACTCCATTTTAAATCAAACAGATTACATAATTATTGCAAAAGTATTACCATCTCTTTACAACGACTATTTAAATTCTTACGTGACATTTTTGAAATAAAACATACTTATTTTTTTCTAAAAAGAACAGATTTTATTAAATAATTAAAAATATAAAACAAGAGATATGCACTTTAAAATTCAAAATAATGAAGTACAAAAAGTGTCAACACCGCAACTGTCAAATAAGTGTTACCAATTTATGCCAAAATTTTACCTTCGTTCGATTACAGTTACAGTGTGGTTCCGAACAAGTGTTCTTGATAAAAACGCTTTATAATGCATTTATACAAATTAAATGAAACATATTATTGTGTATTTCTTTAAGTTAACATTTATAGAAATTTTTAAATATTATTTCTACGCGTATATAATAAAATATGTCTAGTGGCTGTAATGCCAGTGTACTCGGTAAAGTGATTTCTAAGAAAGAACACACATACACCCTAAATATTTTGTGTTGGTATCATGTGACGTCACAGGCTATGTCGCCGATGACGTGCATCGTTATATAAATTAGATGAAGTGTAGTTCTGACCAATTTACTACTAAAAGTCATCATCATCATCAACCTGTATGCGTCCACTGCTGGGCGTAGGTCTTCATCAGCTCTTTCCATCTGTCTCTGTCTTGTGCGGCTTGCTTCCAGTTACTGCTAACACGCGTCAAATCGTCAGTCCATCTAGTTGGTGAGCGTCATCTGCTCAGTATTGTTTATTGTCTTGGTCTCAACTCTAAAATACGTTTTTTCCATCGGTTGTATAATAATCTAGCGACGTGTCCTGCCAAATTCAATTTTAACGACGCGGTTTTTGCGGTGGCGTTTGTTGTTTTTGTTCTGCGACGTATTTCTTCGTTTGGGATTCAGTCTTTCAAAGAAACACTCAACATCTGGCGTTCCATGGCCCTCTATGACATGCAAATCTTATGACCAACTTTTTTTGTGACTGTTAATGTTTGCGCTCCATATGTGAGTACAAGTAACACACATTGATCAAAGATTTTCCTTTTGGGTCATATGGGTAGATCCGATTTAAATACATAGTTTAATTTACCAAACGCTGCCCAGGCTAATCCTATGCGACATGAGAGCTCACAATGTTTATTTACCAGACATAACTTTTCTAATCCCAATACAATCAATTAAGATGGGCACCAATTTTCCCTTAAAAACACAATTAAATATCTGGGAATGATACTTGACCACAAATTGACCTGGAAGGTGCATATTGATGACATGTTGAATAGATGCAATAAGGGATTAAACTTTCTTAAATCAATTAATAAAACTTGGTGGGGATCGGATGTCTTTTACAAAGCTTACATACGATCTATTTTGGATTACGGAAGTGTTTTGTATGAATCAGCAAGTAATGTACTACTAAACAAAATCAACATTTTACAGAACTCAGCCTTACGAATATGTTTAGGAGCCATGAGATCCACTCCAGTACAAGCTTTATATTTGGAAGCCTTGGAACCCCCTTTAAGTCTTTGTCCAAAAAAAATTTAATGAAAGTATACTCAAGGAACTCATCTCTATACTAAAAGATAGTGACTTTGAATTGCCATGACCTGACAAATAAATATTGGCAAAAAAAGAAATCTTCCTTACTTTGCGAAGCGTATAATCAAAATATAGCAATTTTAAGAAATATAGATAGAACGAACTACATATTCAAAAACTACTCTTCTTTCTTTTTGCATACAGATATTATTGTATCAAATTATAGTGAAAACATATATTTAAATATAAATATTTTTCTATCTATAACGAGCAATTACAAATTGTTCTATAAAAAATATTGTTCTATCTATAACGAGCATTGTGTTTGGCTGTAGGACAATAAGTCCAAGCCAAAAAAAAATTTAAAAAAATGTTTCCGCTCCATATGTGAGTACAGGTAACACATATTGCATAGTGTGAACAGTATACAGGAGAGAGGATCTCCCTGGCGCAGCCCTTTATTTGTTTTAAAAGGTTCAGACAGTTACCCCTGAATTCATACTCTACATTCAACTATTTTAAGAGTTAGTTTTGTTTTTTTCCAACTAATTTCTTCTTTATGCGCAACCACCATCAATGAAGGATGTTTCTTCAAAACCTAGGTCTGTCCAGTTTCTAATAATACGCAGCCAGGATTGTGTTTTTTCTTCCAATCTTTAATTTTCTCTGTATTTTACCCTTAATGATCAATTATTGACGAATGTATAGTTTTCGAAACGTTTTTCTATATTAAGTCTACTTAGAACTTCCTCATTTCTTTTTCCTTTAAGAAGTTTTTAAAATTCTTCCGTATACCTATTTCAAATACATTGTTACAATCTTTATCTTCAGAGACCACGTTTCAACTCTATAGAGAACAATATACCAAAAAAAACATTAATACCTTTTCATTAATACGAGTAATATCTTCCCATTTAATATTTTAGATAAAGGAACATTCTATCTCTATTGGATTACCATTATCTTGGGTTTTTCTCGTTAATCTTCATTCCAAACTTTCGGCGAACGACATTAAGTTGGTGTAAGCCTTTCTGCAAGTTAGTGTCTGTGTCAGTTGTAGTGTTTTCATTTTCTTGTCAATAACTGCCCTTAAATTTTGATTGTGCTGTACCTATACTATTTCGAAGACTATTTATATTATATTTCTCTACACCATATTTTCAGTTCCCGTATAATTAATTTCTTCTGTGTTTAGTCGTGTTTAAAAGTACGTAGTACGAATTTTCTTTCTTGAAGTAGCTATTTAAAAAGTTTATATTCGCATTTAGTTTTAAGCTGTCAGCTAAAGGGTATGTGCAATACCCAGATGATAAGATTTGAGGCATATTAGTTTTGTTGTATGATGGCGGCTTACGTTAAGTAATTAATTAGTCATTTAAATACAATTTGTACTATAACTAGATTTCTACCGTCAGGACTAGAAGCTGCCTCATTATCACGTCATTACTTCTGCTGCTTCATTGGTTTTTGCCGTCTAGAAAAATTTGATTTCAGCCTACTAGTCTAAGAGCCAGTGGGCGGCTACCTATATGTATTTGACGATACCTGGATTTTTGTACAGTGAGACCCCTATACCTACTGTACATGAGATGGAGAGTCACTAAGCTCCAGGTGGTCGACTTGGCGGGCGCTCAGGTATGACAGGTATCGATTTTTGGCCAATTTTATAAGTAGTTGACGACGTCTGCCGCTTTGAAATTTGAAAATATATTAATATTATTATCGGAAAATAACAATGGCAGACCATTATCGCGCAGTTTTCATTGCGGCAGACAATTTTGAAAGTTTAAAAAAAATAAAATTTTCAAAGTAATTGACCAGATCTGCCATTAATATATTTCATTTATTAGGGTCTTAAAAACTTATATTGATCATGGCAGACGTCTTCATGGTGGACATACTTCAGTAGACAAGAAAATCTTAGCTATTATCCGGTCAGATGTATCTGTATGACGTTCCCTGTTTCATATCAATATCATTTACGTTCTTACTGTATTCATAGAAATTAATACTTCATTTTGCAAATTATGGACTAAAATTTAGAAATTTGATGATAAAATAGTCAATTTATTTGATTTTTTTCTTTTAATTTATTCACAACAAAATTGAAAAAAATGAATCATGAATTACAAAAAATATTTTCTTTTATTGATTTGAATTTTTATTCATCTTCATCGGAATCATTTGTCTCCAGGTGGGACTCCTCTTCATCATCCTGTGATTCGGAATCTGTAAAAATAAAGCATAAATTATTAAATAAAAGTCAATCGTAAATTGATCTGAACACATTCGGTAAAGAATTAATTATTATGAACTTACTAGGAACTTGGGTGATTAAATCACTGACAGAAGTTGGGAGTTGATCTCCTTCAAACCATTTGAATGTAAATTTCTCGTCTTGCTCTATCCAACCAAACTCTAATGGATCCAATGTCGTAGGTTCTTTTTTGTAAGCATTTTTCCAAATTGTAGAAATATAATGCGCTCTCAGAAGTTGTTGAAAGCTCACTTTTACATGGTGGTATTGAGCTTGCATCAAAATTCGAAATTTTTTTGCTGAAATTTTCATTGACATCGGAAGCCTTATAATTATTGACGAAAAATTGGTATCTTCCATCATCAACGTCAAAAGATTTTTTTGCATTATAAAGTTGGCAGGTAAACTTTTGAATGCTGTTAAATACCTGTTGTAACTGGTCCTCTGTCAAATTTTCTTCACCAACAGTAGCAAATGCTTCTTGAACTTCTGTATTTTTCTTCAATAAGGTAAAAGGTTTTCTTTTCCCTTTATTAAAGAAAGCCGGATTGAAATCACATCCTGTGAACGCATGGAAGCCGATTAAGCTTTTGGCTAGCAATTCACCAAGCTCTTTGTAAATTTTTGTGATGTGAATATACCTTTCCTTATTTCCGGTGCCATTGAGCATCCAAACATTAGAATTGGCATGTTGTAATCGTGACATATTACCAATCATTATAATTAAAATATCAGTATCAGAGGCTCTAATAACAATATTCGACTGCTCTGTGATATTGCAAGCATGATACACAATCTTAGTATCAGCTTCTTTATGTGATCTGCCTTAAAGTTTAACAGGACACTCTTTTCAAATTGATCCTTTTCTGAAGCCCGTAATGGGTCAATTTTAGCACGAAATTGTTTCTTTTTTTTTGTTACAAAAAAAAAACACAAATTTGAATTTGAACTTGCAGAAGCTACAGTATCGGAAGTTTCAACAGTCGATGATTGTGCTAAATTTTCAGATGGTCCTTCCTCCAACGGCAGTTCAGCGTCGATTTCTTTTTCTGCTTCTTTTGTCTCAGGAAGGTTTCCATCTTTTTCAAGGGAATCGTGTACAAGTGTATCAACAATTATTGAGCTCTCAGCTGATGTAGACGGCTATTCAACTGCAGGCAAAGATTTTCTGGACTGTGATGAAGTCTTTTTTTCAACATCTGTCGTCAAATACTGTCTTTTCAACGCTGTAAATGTCTTGTAACAACTACTATGGTATGCTGAATCATAAATTTCGTCCGGTAAAATAATGTCATTGTATTTTAATTTGTGAAATTTCCTTAACCTCAAAACTTTTTTACATTTTGATATAGTCTCTTCTGAACAGTAATAATTTTTCATTTTTTACCGAGTTAGAAAAGACACACTTCTGTTCTGGTTTTTCACTCGACATAATCACGGATAGATTAAATAATAATAATCGTATCAATAAAACAAAAGAAAGCAACACTATGTATTATATTCAATAAATTCACGAAACACGCAGTAACTGTTAGAAGGCTCAGAGATATACTGAAAACATCTGGCAAAAACCGTTAGAGTGGGGATGAACCTTGGCCCTCTCAGGTATAAAACCTGAATTTTTCGAGTGCGAGTAACTACACAACGAAATAATTCTAATAAGCTAGAATGAGTACAATAGTGATTCATAGAGAATAAAAGAAAGATAGCTATAGACAGTCTATGCATACTTCTGACCGGATAATAGCTAAGATTTTCTTGTCTACTGAAGTATGTCCACCATGAAGACGTCTGCCATGATCAATATAAGTTTTTAAGACCCTAATAAATGAAATATATTAATGGCAGATCTGGTCAATTACTTTGAAAATTTTATTTTTTTGAGCACTTTCAAAATTGTCTGCCGCAATGAAAACCGCGCGATAATGGTCTGCCATTGTTATTTTCAGATAATAATATTAATATATTTTCAAATTTCAAAGCGGCAGACGTCGTCAAATACTTATAAAATTGGCCAAAAATCGATACCTGTCATACCTGAGCGCCCGCCAAGTCGGCCACCTGGAGCTTAGTGACTCTCCATCTCATGTACAGTAGGTATAGGGGTCTCACTGTACAAAAATCCAGGTATCGTCAAATACATATAGGTAGCCGCCCACTGGCTCTTAGACTATACCTTTTTTGAGAGAGGCTTGCCTCAAGTCACATGGTCTCTAAGGATGAACGGCTTCATCGACAGGCTAATTTTTAGCTAAGTGTGAAGACATGACAAGATGTAGTTAAGTTTTTTCGCCTAAAATCGGGGGAAGTAATTTTTGCTTGAGTAAACTATGGTCACTACGAAGCTCCCTATGAATGTCATGGTATGGGCTTGTATGACCGCGAGTGAAGTTGGACTTTGGCATTAATAGATTGAAATATTAATGTCAAACCTTAATGTAACATCATGTAAAACCATTAAGTTACTGTCCTGCCTTGGCCTGGAAATAGTTTCGATCTACATCCAATGGAAAATCTATGGCCAAGGCTGAAAAGAGAGAACTAATGGAAGCCATTATTCAAAACTGGTTTAAAGTTATTACACCAGAAGAGTTGGCTGGTCTTGTGATTTTTACGCCTCGAAGAATCGAGTATGTGCTAAAAAAACAACGGTTACCCCATCAAATACTAATTTTCTTTATAATAGCCATTGTGTCATTTTTTTATAAATATATGTACTAATAGCTAACGACTGTTATTTAAGTAATTTTTAAAACTTTAGAGTGTTTATCCTCTTAAAATAGATGATGAGTAGACGCATAAAAATACCATAAGTCATGTGAATAAGAGCAATGTGGCTAACAAAACTAAAATGTATGTGAAGTTTTCAGAATTTTGGCCACTATCATATTTTTCTTAGCTTGCAACTCTTTCAAACATACCAACCTGGCTAATTGGCTATGCTAAAGCCATTATACAATAAAAAAATATATACTAACAAACATTAATATCTTAACAATTTTTAGGTGACTGGAACGAAAATGAAGATAGCGACTGCGGTCATTCAAGTGAAGGCGAAGATGATATAGAAGAATCCCAGAAACCAAAAGAGAAACGTGATATGCTGTTCAACAAATCGTACTATATTCTTTTGGATGCCAAAGAAACGTTCAATGTAACCGTCACACCGACTATGCTACAAATAGTCAATGATTTAATAACTCAGTATTCCAACAAAATAATATCCGTTAGAAGTAACAGAAAGGTAATAAATTTGATCAATGATATTGGACCTCATGCCAAAGTAGATTTTTACGAAAAAATTAGTGCAGAGGATAATAAATTATTATGCACAAAGAAATTTGAAAATGAAGATTCTGCTCCTAATAGTCCAACAAAAACGGGATTCTATTTGCCAGAATATTTGGATAGTAGCTACGATGACAGAGATAGGTAAGCAGTATAAGTAAAGTAATTAATTTTATAGTTATGTACAGCGTTTCCTATTATTTTATGATCCTCTTTTTGCATCGATATATAAAGTAGGCTTCCCTACTATCGGGACTTCTATCAGATCTTTTATGACCTACCTCTCCTACTTTTTTCAGAGACTCGATAGCCAGCAGCTTTATTGAATGGTGCCCTTGACATTGAACGGGTTTCCATCAAATATTCGATTCCATCTTACATTCTTCTTCTTCTTCAGTGCCTTATCCGGTCCGGATGTTGGCGATCATCAAGGCTATCATGGTTTTGTTGACTGCTCTGCGAAACAGCTCCACTGAGCTCCACTGCATAACGAGTTGAAGAATTCGATATTTTTCTTCGTTCCGCATCACGTGGCCGAGATACTCAGGCTTACGTTGTTTTTCTTTTTCTTTTGTCATGCGCTGTAGAACCTCAACGTTGGTGACATGGTCCACATAAGATATTTCTCAAGATAAGATATCTTACATTGCTGTTAATATATTTATTTTTAAATTCAATTCAATTCAATTCTGCAGTCACTGCTCTTTCCTCGTTATCTTGTCTTTGATTTTATTAGTCTCATAACTTTTTCTGAGATGACCGATGAGATCCTGAAACCAATGGACGAGAGGAGACAAGCCAAAAATGACCCACATAAATATAAAACCATAAATAATATATTCCAGTAAATCATTGGTTTTTATTTTTCAGGCTATCTCACGGTATTTGTCCATTAAGTTCTGTTTTTATTTCAGTTTTACTGAAGAAGGAAAAGACGATTTCGAAGGATCCTACGATTTCGAGTCATTATCCAGTTTGCAGTTTCCGGACGAAACAACTCCGCAACTTTACGATAGAATCAATAAAAACTTCATGAAAATTTACATACCCAACTTATCACCTATACAAACCAATTGCTCAAAACGGAACTGGGAAAAGCTAATTCGACTTAGTTCGCCGAATTCTACTCAAACTTATCATTTAGCTGCTAAACACACAATGGGGAAATTGGGAAGAAAAATTATAGTGAGCTCTCCACTTCAGGTAAAAATATTTTTTTATAAATATGTTCGGAAAGGCTTCCACGGTAAGTACGATTAAACCTTTAGCTAAGATTCATATTATTAAATATGAATCGCACAGAAAACCAAGTATATGTATTTTACTAGATCATGCAACCAGATATTAGACCTAGACTATTAATTGATGACCTAGAACTGGAAGGTGTGGACACCTTCGTCTACCTTGGCTCGCTGCTGACCAAATACAACGGTGTCAGCGAAGAAATTAACAGAAAAAACAGTGCTTGCCAATAAGTGCTATTATGGCTTGAGGAAACAGATTGCCCCAAAACTACCCAGAAAATAAAACACAAGGTGGGAGGAGTCCAAGAACACGGTTTTTACCCAGGTTTATAACTTTAAGTTATACAGAAGTTTTGGGGAACCTGACGTTGTCAAATGCATTAAATTAGCACGCCTTCGATGAATAAGACATGTAATTAGGCAAGATGAAGATGCAACAATCAGAAAAATTTTCGACTGAAGACCAAAACTGAGAACCAGTGGGAAGACAAGCCAGAGAAAACCAAGACTTAAATATCAAGATAACTGATGACTAAATCCATCTACTAAATCATGGAGAAGAGTTGCAAGAGACAGGGGCGAATGGAAGATTGTTCTGAAGAAGGCTTTGGCTCATAACGAGCTGTAATGCCACTGATGATGATGAAGATTCATATTATTGCATAAATTAGTATCAAATTGGCATATTTTTCCAGTTGAACTGCAAGTTTATTACATCGAGCTTTCTACCTCCTCTGCCAAGTTTTCATCACGACTTCCGGAGTCTGTCTCCTAAGACCCAGATCAATTCACTAATACACTGTTCACTGTTCACTGTACGGCTTCTTAGTCAGAGACTGTTTATTTATACCTTCAATTGTGATGTGGCATGATATATGTATGAGATATACATCCATCAAAAATAATCGACGTAAGATGACTCACCTCAGCAGATATAAGTAGCAACCATAGTCTAGTAATATATAAAATAAGAATCATCCTGAAATACTTCCCACCCAAGAAAGCGACGCCAACACAAACAAAAATCAAAGTCGAAGCACTAAATACGAAATCCGCGGAATACTTATACAAGGAAAGAATATCAGAAAAGATCGCTGGGAATGAAATATTAGAAAACGATAACATCGAGGAAAGCTGGGAAAAACTCAAAAAAAAATAACATCATTAACGCAGCAATAGAATCACTTGAAGAGAGGAAAGTAACGAACGAAAAAGATGGTGCGAGAATTTAAACAATTTAGGAGGCTAATATTGAAGAAGAAGTAGGCTCTAAAGCCCATGCTAAAAGAAGAAATGAAGAGTGAAAGAAAGAAAGTAAGAAAGTTTTAAGCTAAGAATCAAAACAGGCCTCTACTAATTACGTGTTGTTTTATCAGAACTGAACCTGAAACAGTCAACAATATCCTGCGCGAATGTGGGAAACTAGATAGCAAACGAAAAGCACGTTTTGGGGACTACCAAGTGACTCCAAAACATATGGTACCCATCCAGTGGACCTATACAAGCCACTACATGTTTTCAGAATCTTGGAATGGGTGGCATGAATACATGGAAGATGTATAAGTCAATTAGCTGCAGTAGAACCAGTTACATCGACAACCGGACTATTCAGAATAGCAGCAAGCAAAGTTAGGATAGCCATGTTGATCGTCAAAATCCGGAACGGATAGGCACCGTAAGAAGAAGAAGAAGAACCAGTTAATAATAAGTAGTTTTTGAAAAAAATAAATGTAACCAATTATAAGAACAAGAAAACGCAACATCTGATATTAATTTCGTAATTGTTCAGCTCAATTTAAACTACTTAGATTTTACTAGATCCGGAACCAATTTTTATTATTACTATATTGGTTTTCTGTATTCGTTAAACATCTACCACACACTTGCATGTTGTCAAATGTATACACCTAATCATTTTTTACAGATAAAGAACGAAACTTGCTTTGCTCTAAGTGTACTGTATCAACCGTCTATACTTCAACAGTTAAATTTAGAACCAGTAGGAGACATGACTAATCCTTTCGAAACTACCATGAGAATATCGGTACTTGAACCTCAAGAAGAATACAATGTTCCTCTACATATAGCATACCATTGCACATTGTTTATCCAACCAGCTTATGCAGAGTAAGTTTTTGACTAAACTTTTCTTGGAAATTATATTCAGTTATGTTATGTAAACTATATTTAGAAGTAAATATCTTTTTCTTTGCCACCTCGACATAAATATGATATATAACGTCATGTTATTTGCCACTACACCAAGTATTATCCACTATATCATTCACATAAAGTGTGTTTAGCCATTCAGTTGGGTACCTAGCCATTTAATTTTTTTGTTAAAATCCTTTATAAAAGGTATATAAAAATGCCTCAAATGGGCTATCACAAACACATTGCAAAACGTTTTCGGATTAAACAATCCATCATCAGTGCAAACCTGAAAGTATATAACCACTTTAATTAAAAAGAACGTTAAATGAAAATGTTGACAAAGGGCCTTTTGACAAAATCTCTAGCTTAAAATAAATATATCCTTACACATGTATAGTTGGTTGCCTATCAATCCTACAAAATTTCATAAATTCTAGTTGACCTACATTAATTTTTAAAAAATCAATTTTCAATGTTACAAATATACCTATCTGATTAATTTACAATACAGATTACAATATTGATGGTTGATACTGTTACATTATTATAATTTTAACTTTTTTAATTTTAAATAAGGCTGACATCTGTCAATTTTAGACAACTACCGTAAGTTACACTGACTGCTCTGACACACACGTCCTAACTTGTCAACAATGTCATTTTGATCAGTTGTTATCAACAGGTCCTCGTAGGCACTTCGTCTCAGGACCATTTTACTCATGTAGAGTCATAACGCCGCCATGTTACCTATCCAACGGTTAACTTAACCATCACAAATTAGAAATACTAATAATGTAAAACAATTTCAAATTTATAACATTTAAAGGGTTTTTTACCCATATATTTTGGTGGCTACTAGCATGTACAACCGTAAGTATTAACCACATTTTGCTCTTACCTTTGTCAACATTTTCATTTTAACGTTCTTTTTAATTAAAGTGGTTATATACTTTCAGGTTTGCACTGATGATGGATTGTTTAATCCGAAAACGTTTTGCAATGTGTTTGTGATAGCCCGTTTGAGGCATTTTTATATACCTTTTTATAAAGGATTTTAACAAAATTTTTTTGTGATATATGGTATACAGCCAGCTACAGGAACTTAGTTTCCTCGTGGAATTTAATTTTTTGGTTTATTTTTTTTTTGCTCGCGATATTGTAGAGAGCTTGTAACGTAACTTGTCTACTATGTTAATGGGAATAAGCCACAATTTAAGGTTAAAATAAGTTTATTGACGTTTCAATTTCTACTTCGGAAATTGTTCTCAAAATACAAACATTAATAGATTAAACAAATTTTGTTTTTTATTACTTGGTCAAAAATTCTTAATAAAAAAAATGGAAATTTAAAAAAAGTAAATACTAAAATAGTAAACTTTAAAATGACACAATAAAATAGCTACTGTAAAGTAATTTGTCTGGATGGACAGCTGTGGATGAAAAAAGAAGAAGAAAATCCAGGTGCAAGTTAGTTTAACACCTTGCAAACCGGCGCTGAGGGGTTTGGAAGGACACAACGGTGAGCTTTGGGACATAGGTTTAGAGATTCGGGATGGGAGTATATTTAAAAATGTGGAGAATTGACATGTACCGACGAAAATGACAGAATTTGGTACTAAACAAAAGGGAAAAAATATAGAGCGTTACCTAGTTCTTTGTCAAGGAGAGAGGAGAACTCAACACGTATCCTATGAGACTATTGGCTTAAGAAAAACACCAATATGCATATATAATCAAAAAAACACAATTGCCATATAATATTTCTATATTTCTATCAGATTTACCTTCTTATTAGTTACCATGTAGCATTTTTATCTTCTTTAGTATGTATTGAAATCACCCCGTATGTATTAAAACACCAAAAAAGTATTTTCAATCCTCCAGCATCGCTGGAGTCGACAATAACTACATTTTAAACTTTGTTTATATATCACAGATGCGTATTTCCTTGGTCTTTTCTTTAATCTTCAAGCCGCTTAATATTGCGCCTGAAATAAACATCCACTTAGATCGCTGAGAAGGTTTTGCGGGGAGAGAATTACATCACTCTCCATAAAGCCGCTGTCAAGGGCAGTTGGTTTCGTTGTAGTCCGAATTTTCTTCAAAATTCGTAAATGTTTTTTCGTTATTCGTTTCTTATCGGAAATTAGTTAGTGAGCTGTTGAAAGAGAAGTTGTATATTTCTATTTGTGCAGTTAAAGTGTTTTGGAAGATTCTTTGAACAGTCAAGGCACTTCGAGTGTCGGCATTATAAACCGGAAAATGTATTCTTAAAAAGTGATTTATACTCAATGTAATGTGTCAGTTTTGAAAGAGTAATCACTGTTTTTATGTTCTAAGTATATAAGAGATTTTATATAAAAAAAAATTTAATTATTTGTGTTATAAAATATATTTTTAGGGGACATTATGCTTCTGATTCTGGCATCTGGTGGAAAGATCTAGCCACAGAGATGGACAATGCTCACGATCTACATTGCAAACCAAAAACAGATTCAAACGTTGAAATATTTTCTATAAGAGTTATGCTAAAACGTAATATTAACAGTAAAAACCCAACTCATTCATCCATACCAAATTACATTATCCATTTGCTACCTCCTTTAATAATCAACAATTTCTTACCATATTCACTTGAAGTGTTGAACGTAAGTTTGAAGCAAGTTATTAAAGTTGAACCTGGAGAGAAAAATAGCGTGTACTCTTTGGATTTCTCGAAGGATCAAAAACTTCTGATACGATTGAAACATAATTCCGCAACGTGGACCGGAACTTTGAATCTTACGAAGCATTTGGATGAGAAAATCTTGGTATTGACTACCGATAACAAGGAGGAGGTTGCTAACTTGGCTATAAATATCAAAAGTGACAGAGAAGGTAGTTGTAACATGTTTTTCTATACACCCTATTGGATTATCAACAAAACTGGTCTTCCTCTCCAAATAAAGGTAAGAATATTTCTATTTTTTTTTATATTTAACCCATATAACCAGAACTATATTATAATTAAAAGTTTTGGTACTTTTCTTAAGCTACTATACTAGATGGTTCATGTCGCACAAGCCTGGATGATTAAAGGGTCAGGATGGGGTGAACGGGATCCAGATTCGAATGAATACTTGGAAATTAACCAAATAATATGATGGCAAATTTCAAAGTAATGTCGTCTGATGTAAAAACAGTTTTCATTGAAATCGAAAAATAATTTTTCAAATTAAAACAATACGTAGGTCAAGTGATGGGTATATTCAAACCATCGTCCTACCGCCAAAGTGCACAGTATTATTGCAGTCGAAAGATCAAAATTGTATAGGCACAAACAGTAAAGTTCTTACTTAAAAATAGATTATTCATCTATATTATTTTCGAAAATGGTGACAGTCACCACAAATTTCATTTGACGGATATTGTATTCTCGCTCGCCTAATGAATGAAGCTATGTTTCACCTAATTTAATCAAATCAGTATAGAAAAAACTATAGCCTACAATGAACGGTGTATCGCAAGAAACAGAAAGTGTGATTCTGAAGATAATCTACCTTAAAATGAGGAATTTTTCTGAATTCATAAATAAAAATCTAGACTGAATCAATCAGAAAGGCGGTCACGGTCGCAGACTCTGTATCTATCTTAAATAAGTCTAAATTATCTATATTATGGTCTTACAAGCAAACATTCAATACAGCAAGGCAACTTTTGCGGAACTTACTATGCCACGGGAGGCTTAGATGTCCCTTGATACAAGAGAAAATACAGAATTAATTATGAAAAAGGCGAGACTTTCAGGATAAGCAGCATTCGTCGGTATTATTGACGAATCTTTGTGGTCAATATGCTTTCCTCAGAGACTTTTAAACAGTACTTCTTCTTCTTCTTATGGTGCCCTATCCAATTAATTGATGTTGGCGACAATTCTGGCATACTCCTCTCAATCTTGTGTGGCTCTAAAGAGTGAATGGGCTTCAAGGTTTGTCCAATCCCTTATGTTTTTAAGGCATGAGTATTTCTTTCTTCCGATGCCTCATTTTCCTTCTATCTTCCCTTCCACAATAAGCTTTAAGAACTGGTACTTGAAATTTCGAAATATATGACCCAGATCAGCAGTTCTTCTTTATTATTATATTTAATTGCATCTTTCGTTTTCTACTAACCACCATTACCTTCATCTTGTCTATATTAATCTTCAAGCCCAGTCATTCTCCTTCAGTGATTATTCTATCTATTAGTCGTTGTAGGCTATCAGCTATTATGACTGTACCATCAGCATAGCGAAGATTACTAATAGTCTGTCCGTTGATTTTGATTATATCTTCAGAGTCACTTAAGGTTTTATCGAAAATCGTTTCAGAATAAAGATTATCATTTCAGGTGACAGAATACAACCCTGTCGTACACCTTTTCCGATTGAGAAATATGATGTAGATTCCAGTCGTACTCTCACAGATGCCACTTGATTTATATAAAGGTTATTTATGATCTTAAGGTCATTCTCATCTATCGAGCGTTCCTGGAGCAATCTTACTAATTCTGAATTATTAACACAATCGAACGCTTTCTGGTAATCTATAACGCATAGGAAGGCATCTTTTTGCTGATCTCTGCATTTCTGAAGTAGGACAGTTAAGCTATAAAGTGCTTCCTTCTCTTGTGCCAAATTCTTGTCTGAAACCGAACTGTGTGGGACTAATGTACCTTTCAAATCTATTGTATATTCTTGTGTGAATTATTAAGACCTGGCTCAATAAGCTGATCATTCGGAATTGGTCGCAACTATTAGCATTTGGCTTTTTTGGGATTGGTATAAAGGTTGATTGAAGACAATCCTGTGATATTTGACTGGACCCATAATTGTCATTAAAAAGATCTACCAAGGCTTCTATACAATACTAACCAGTACTTAACAGCTTGCAATTACCATTACACAGAGACATAACTGACACCAACTTGTATCGCTTCAGCTCCATATAACTACCCACTAAACCTAAGGTCTAAAAATTTCCAAATAAACATCCAGTGGAAGAACTACAGGCTCAACCCAATAATGAGAAACATGTAATGTATCACGGAAACTCCACCCGTGTTGACCTCCCCAGAAAATCATTAACAGAACCCTTAAAAACAACAAACCGTCAACAGAATATGAATGAAACATGAATATTTTATAAATATTTACAAATAGAAAAAGAAAGTTTTACCCCATACGACTGTAACGCCAAGAGACAAACCATCCAGTACATGCTTACCAAATATCCTTTGAAGAAATATGATTAAGACCTACTAGACTGCCTGCGTGTCACCAACATCAAACAAAGGATGCATTGGGTGTTGGCAAAGAGCTTATTTATAGCAGATCTGCCAAAGTACCAAGAACTTCTATAATAGTTCATGGAAGATATACTGTAACCGTGGGTCGTACTACAGCCAATGAGAAGAACTAAGGGCTTCCAGAAAAAAATGCAATAAAGCGGCTTTGGATGCAAAATGCCAGGGTAATTGTGCAGTATAATTATATTTATAAATGATCTACATATTTTATATGTATATATTCTGATTTTGATGGTTTTTATAGGCTTCAATCTCAAACACGCTCTACAACTGCGTGAACGAAGACATTTTGCTCTTTACATATAAACGGCATGGAAAGCAAACCCTTAATGTTCGAGTCTACGAATCAAACTGGTCCAATGAATTTGGTTTGGAATGTGTAGGCACGACAGGATTGATCATTTGTAAAGATATAGAGAGGAAGAAGAAATACATGTTCTTTTTGAATAGCAGGTTTTCCAATATTTGTCCAAGACTTACAAAAATTGTGACAATACTTCCTAGTTTCTTGGTGACCAATAATACAGATAAATCATTAAGGTAAGTAGTTTGTGTCTAAGATCTATAAGTGTGCAGATGAATAGATCTTTTTTCAAATACTATTTACATTTTCATCAATTTTCTATATGTAATACATGATAAAGTTCTTTCTCTTCTCTATTTCATCTGCAATTTGTTCTTCATTTCTAGTACCTCCTGTAGAGTAAGATTTTTAGAAATAAATTAATTTATTTTCTTAATGTCTAAAGAAATTATAACTTTTATCCATTTAAACTTTCTTTACTATAGGATAGTACAAAGAATAACAAATTTATCTGCAATTTAGGATGGTTTTTTTGCGAAATAGGCATAAAGAACTGGTATTCCATTATTCTGGAAATTATACTGGTGCTATAATCTTGCATTTGATTGGTGTTCACCCCCATCTCTGTTAAACTCTGCGGGGATTTAATCATATTCTGTCGGAGTCTTTGGATTCTGATCACATGGACTTCTTTCCATCCATTAGGGAATCTTCTGAGTCAAATCAGTGTATTTATTAAGTTAGTCAGATAAACGACCACTTTAGCTGGGGGGTATTTTAGGGCCCTGTTTGTAAAGTGGTACAATTTACTTTGTTCACTACAAATAAATTCTCTCCCTTCGTTTTCACCTAAAATATTAACAATTTTTAGATTTATGGAACATAACGACAAAACTGACTTATGGATCGATTTGGTTCCTTATAAAACTATGATATTCTGGCCAGAAACATCATCCATGGAAATGTACATCAAATATAAAGATAGCAAGTTAATATCACATTCGTTTTTTATATCCACCCACCATAGAACAGTTTTGAGGTTAGACAAGGGAGTAAGTTTATTATTTAAATAATAGTTTGCCGTACTTTTTTAATCTAAAAGCAAATACGCTTGTGCTGATGTGCGTATTTTCTGTGTATTTGTCTTAAAGAAATTCTAAAATTTTAGAGCGCAATCACAGTAGAAGTGACGGGAGGAGTGAATGATTCATTTAGGATTTCCTTCAATGAGTACAAACCAGGCGATACACCGGTTCTAATTAAGAATTACTGCGCTGATTTGTTCCTGAAGATACAACAACAAGACCTAAGCCCCGTCACTTTGTTGAACCCTTATCATTCGCTATTATACACGTGGGATGATCCAACAAGACCTCGACAGTTGGTGTGGAATGTGTACAATAATAAAGGAAGGGGTTTTTCAGTTGATATTACCAAAGACGGGTAAGTTACCTATAAAATTATTTAATTATATATTTTTTTTAATGCTTGGTTACAGGGTTAAACTAAAAAATGTAGGTATTATTATTTTCCCAATTTATTTATAACCTTAAAATATATAGATAGAAAACCATTTAAGTCCTGGATCATCTTCATATTTTAAAAAGTCTTTGATAGATTACGTTGCAGTTCCAGCAGACTCCAGCAGTTCCGTTGGTAACTGATTAGCGGGGACTACTATTCCAGCAATACAGTTATTGTTATCTTTTCCATCACTTTTCGCTTCAATTTCAAAAAGCTTTTGCCATGACTTTTACAAACTATCCAGTAAGACACATCCTTAACAGTGATTTTTTAAGCGCTGCTTACACAGTCATTCCCTCATCCAACCAGGTCAACAATACTTGGAGAAAACGACGATAGTTCCATTTCATAGCCTCTAACTCCTTGATTCAGAGGTTGAATGAGAGATGTGACGTTTGGTGGCAATAAAATAGCTTTATTGTCACCGCTAGCCAACTAACTTGCATCTGAATGAGATGGCGTGTTGTCCAAAAGAAGAATAGCTTTTCTTGGTAGGTTTTTCTTTTTTAGGTAGGCCTCAACAACGCAAACGAATTCGTCAAAAAACCAATCTTTAAAAATTCGGTAATCCATCAACGCACTACGTTGATTCCTGTATAGGTAGTTTAGTTAAATATTGTTGAAAGCTTAAATTCTTCTAGGGCCGAAATACAAAAGGCCAAAGAAAATTTGGTTAAAAACACAGCGTGAAGAGATAAAGTTGTTGAACCAAAACCACGATACATTTAATAGAGGAAAGGAGCCAAATATGGAATACCATTTTTATTTTTTGCTGTCAATAAGTGGTTTTCGATCAAATGAATCTAATTCTTTAAGCTAAATTGGATCATAATTTCGTTCATCGGAATTATTATCTGAGGATTCAATTAATTCGATGAGTTTTTCACAAAAAAACTTTTCCTGCATTGACACGTTTTTGTACCTAATACGGAATATGCACCTAATATGGAACACTGTATGTTCTAAATATGGAATAAAACAAAATTATAGGAAAAATATTTATTGACAACTCAAACTTTTTTCATATTCGTAAAATAGTTTCGAAACACAATTCAGATTTCTGCTTTATAATCTAAGCCTTCTAAAAATTGCAAGGCAAACAGACGTTGATAAAAGATGTTAAAAGAGACATGGGGAATCTAAAATTTGCATTCCACGACATGTCTTTTACAACTAAGCAGAAATCCTTAGCGAATTGTGCTTCTAGTACTCACACAGAGTAAATCCGAATAAAATGAAGAAAGGCAGCAAATATTTGATTTCACGCAAACAAATCCTATGTATCTCTTGATACGTATTTCGACCTAATAGGTCTCGTCAGAAGAGCTATTCATAGGAGTCGTCAACGTGAAAAATCAATATTTTCTGCCTTTTAAGAAGCACCAATAACATGGCTTCAATACGGACGCAGTAGCGACATCTAATTACAACAATCGTAAAATAGTTTCGAAACACAATTCAGATTTCTGCTTTATAATCTGAGCCTTCTAAAAATTGCAAGGCAAACAGACGTTGATAAAAGATGTTAAAAGAGACATGGGAAATCTAAAATTTGTATTCCACGACATGTCTTTTACAACTAGACAGCCTCAAACTATGCCGGTTTTCCTAAAGCCATTAACGGCTATTGCCCCAGTTTGGACTTTCAAATAAGCCCTACCAAATAATTCAGAGGTGTCGAAAGGTGTGACAGCCTCTGATTGGTTCGAAGAAATACTCTTAATTCCTCACTATAGTGAGATTTTAAAGGCCCTATGAAAGTTTTATCCAACGGCTGCATATAATGGGTAGAGTATGGGGGCAGGCACAATATCTCCACAAAATTTTGTCTTGCTAAATCGATAACTTGTAAGTTGCGACAATGCGAATGGTGCCCATCTAAAACTAGCAATATTGGATCACTTTGTGATGGTCTTGTTTTTTCTATGAAGTGCCGGAACCATTCTGTAAGTGTTTCCGTTTGAATCCAGCCACTCGGATGGCACACAATTTTTGATCCAGGAGGGGCTCCTTTTTGTAGCAAAATATTCATATTCTTTCTAGGATAAATAAGTAATGGTGGAACAAAAGTTCCCCCTGCACTCATGCATAAAACAGCTGTGACTAGAGATCCCCTCTCGGCAGACGTTCTCGAGCCAATTTGCTTAGCATCCCTCAAAGCCAGAACAGACTGTATCTTCGATTGGACGATAGACAACCCAGTCTCTTCAACGTTAAAAACTCTATCTGCAGGATATTGATGCTTCTCGAATGCTAACTTCAGAAGATCGAAGAAGTGGCTAACATTTTCCTTATTGAAACCTTTAGCCCGATAAATTGAGGTTCCGGTTGGCTTTCTTATAGAAATCGCACTTTTATGTCTTTTTAGAAATAAATCTAGCCACTTTCTGTCAGCACTTTCAGTTTCTTTCGAAAATGAATTTGATAAGTTATTAGCAGCAGCTAACTGGAAAGCCATATGTTTAACATCCCGTCTAGTTAATCCAAAGAACTTCTTTTCCATTAAAAGTAAATAATCTACCAATTTTGTTTCTAAATTTTCTGGTAAAACAGGGGGTCTACCTAATTTCTTGTCTACAGCATCATTAGGTTTAGATGCCAATCGAAATAAAGTGGTACGGGATATTCCAAAGGTGTCTGCTGCTTTTTTATATCCCATTTCTTTGATCCTAACGGCCTGAATAGTACATTTCATGTCATCTTTGTTCCACGATTTTCTACAGAGTTACTTTTCTTCTTCTGTGGCATTTTCCTGCAACAAATAGAAATGTAGTTTTCAAACCAAACTAATTACGAAACTCGATAAGTAACATAATAGATAGATATATTTGTTATATCATATTATGACAAAAAAATGTTCCGAATATGGAATATTCTATATTTAATACCCTCAAGTATTCCATATTAGGCACACTACAATGTTTGAATTTCCCACTGCAATATCATTACATGCGAAAAAGAGTTTTTGTTTACAAGAAAACATGCCTATTACAGAATAGATGGGTGTTACCAAAATTATGTGTCATGCAGAACTTATACTATTCTTGTTCAAAGTACTTACCTACAAAAAACTCGAATCTAAAATAACTCTGAAGGCAACTGTACTCACACTATGAATACTAGATCAGAACTGAATGATGTCACGTTACTATAGCCAAAGGTACCTTTTTTGGGTTGGATAAATGCAACGTTGCCGATTAACTTTTCTAGAAAATACGGTATTCCATATTAAGAGCATATTTCATATTTGGCTCACTTCCTCTATGCATAAAAAGGTAAAACAAGCAGCTGATCTTTAAAAATCCAACACAGCTAGCAAACTGCAAGATCAACAGAGAAACATTATCACAGATAAAAATCAAGAAATATGCATATGGGCCAAATACATACAAGAACTCTTTGATGATAATAGGTCCGAACAACCTCCGTCCTGCATATGTAATGACCACTTACCAATGACATCACAAAATTGGGACCATTCCCTAGAAATAAAATTAGGATAGAGAAAGCAACATTTCCATTTAAAAAAATGGCTAAGCTATTCAATTGCCACGATTTATCTTCTTCTTCTTCAAGTGCCATCTTCGTTCTGAAGGTTGGCGATCATCAGGGCTATAAGTATTTTCGAAACTGCTGACCAAAACAATTCGTTGTTGCTACAGCTATACCATTCCCGTAGATTCTTTAGCCAGGAGTTTCGTCTTCTTCCTATGGACCTTTTTCCTGATATTTTCCCTTGCATAATTATTCGAAACAGTTCATATCTTTCGCCTCTTGTCATGTGTCCCAAGTATTGCAGTTTTCGTTTTTTGATCGTAAATATGACTTCCTTTTCTTTATTCATTCTTCTCAAGACCTCGACATTTGTAACTCTCTCGGTCCATGATATTCTCAGGATTCTGCGATACATCCACAGTTCAAATGCCTCTAATTTTTTTATATCAATCTTTTTCAACATCCATGACTCCATTCCGTAGAACAGCACAGAAAGTACAGTTTCAACATCCTCTCTCTTCATTTTAGTGAATATGGATCTGGCTTTTTCTATTCTTATTTTGATTTCTGCTGAGCTATCGTTGTCTTCATTTATAAAAGTGCCTAAATATTTGTAATTGCTAACTCGATCGATAATTTCATTGTGTAAATATAAATTTTGGAAATTTTGTGTTGCGTGTGTGCTGTTGGTTTCTTTTGACTGTGGACTTAATCCATTAGCCGAACTATGTAAATAAATTTGTTGTGTTGATTTCGATATTACCATAAATTTAGTTTTCTTTATGTTCACAGATAGTCCATATTCTTCGCTGCCGTCTGCTATCTTGTTCACCAATGTCTGTAGCTCTTTAAGTGTTTCTGCGATCAGAACGGTGTCGTCGGCAAATCTCAGATTGTTTAATCTAACACCATTTATTTTAATACCAACCCGATTTATCAGTACCCATAAATATCGAATTTATTCCAAACTTTAAGGGTACACTGTAGATGAGTTTTTTCATACAATAACATTAAACGCGTATTAATTATATTTATTGCATATTGATTTATTGCTACGATTAATGATAATGTTGTTTTAGTAATGTATAGTTTTTTTTTAAGTTATGGAGAAGAAAAAATGAGAATCCATAGTGTGACACCAACATCCAGTTTAGTGGAATCATCTAGCAGCGACGATTCAGACAGTTCTGATAATACTCAGCACAATCTCAACAAAAAAGTTCACAAGGACAAAATTATTATTTACTGGTTATGCTATCGGGAAGGTTTGCAAAGAACCTTACTATTAACTCAAGAATTGAGAATATACAACAAAGTCTTGGAAATGTTTCTAGAAAAGTGTCAAATTGAAGGTTTAATTGCTCTCTCTGGCGTTGGATTATCGATATTCACATCCGAAAATGATACGAAAGAGCACATATATGCAACCATCAGTGACAATCCTGCCATCTGGGAGGTAAACGTCGGTCAAAAGTGGAAAACGTTAACGCTGGAATTAGCTTCATGGGTCGAAGATAAATACAGGCTTCACTACAAAAAATGTCAGTTAAAAGAATATGTTCACATAGATTTCGAAAAGATGTATATGTTAAAACCCTTCTTTGCCGAGTTACGACGAAGTTATTGCCCTGCGGTGTATTTCCACTTCAGGAAATCCCAGAACTATCAGTATTACAATTTAAGATTACAATCCCTACAGATAGACAATAAGCAAACGAATAACATTGTATTTCATCCCTTGCCAGCTCAAAATATCAAAGATAATACTCCATTCGCCGAAATATGTGTATCCAAGTTATCTTCTAAGACAGCTAGCGTCTACAGATATATTAAATTTAACATAGGTAGTTTCTTTTTGAACATAGAGAATGATTTATTTTTGCAAATTTGTAATCTTCTTAAGAAAACGAGAAAATTTACCGATGAAGATTCTGGAATCTACGTCAATGAAATTAAATCCATACACAAATCTATCACGGCCAAAAATAATGTAAGTACTTTTTATTCCTTATATTTATCTTGTATCGTAAGTGTAGTCTAGGTCGATAAAAGTATAATTTTAAATGTCCCAGTTGGAGAAAAATATAAAATGGGACATTTGTCTGGGCTTTTGTAAAATATTGGCGAAGTAATTGAAATTATAGTCGGTCAGATAGCTCAGCGGGCTGTGCGGCTGCCTCTTATTCGCTTCACTGTCGAATGGTTCAGTGGATGTGGGTTCGAGCCCCAGCTCGGTGTACTGAAAACAAAAAGTCTAACGCAGCAGTTTAAAATTCTAGATGAATCTGCGGCTTAGACTAGGATATGCTGGGATCTGATCGGCCTATGGTGGAGCAGTACGGCAAGAGATAAGGGCTTGCGGCTTGGTGATACTCCTCCATAGATCCCTACCGGACGGGCGTAACGCCTAAAAAACCGGATATATATATATATATATATATATATATATATATATATATATATATATATATATATATATATATATACAATTGAAATTATATATTAAATTTTATTATGTAAAATACTAGTTAATATTTGTTTTATATTTATAGTTTTTAATTACCTACTTGTAATTTGTGTTTGTTAAAATATTCACACTACCATTACAAACATTATCACGACCCGTGAATTCACAACTTTTTTTATTAACGCTTATGAAATGAAAGTATTTTCTTCATTGTGCAGTTGCAGCAATCTGCTAATTCAGCTGTTGATTCATCTGTTGTGTCTTTATTTTCTTGTGTAAACCCATTTAGACATAATGTCAAGACATTGATTAATTCCTTTATTAAATAGATTTCTCGTTTATTTGACATTGAAGAGAATTTTTCTCAGTTGAAGTTGAATGTACAATACGAATCCAGAGTGAATTGTATCAACCTTTTAAAACAAGTAACGAGCTGCGCCAGGGAGACCCCTCTCCTGTATACTGTTCAATATGGCAACCACAATATAACGCAACCACAAATCCTTATAAAAAACGAAGTCATCGAAGCAGTGAACGAATTTGTAAACCTGGAAGAGCTCTTTAACAATAAGAATAATACTACCGTAGAGATAAACTGCAGAATTAACATAGCCAACAGATACTAGGACCCAATCTCCTTTTTATACCATCAATTATATCGAGAAATACAAGGGTAAATGTGTAAAAATGCAAATAGTAAAGGTGCGGCAGGGCTTCATGATAAAAATCGGTCATTTTCCCATGTAAATCTCCATAAGAAAATCTAAGGCCATCCTGTCGTTTTTGTCTCGTTTTTTGGTGGAGGCGCGATGGCTTGTCACATCGTTTGGTATCGTCGCAAAAAACAAACGCAAAGACAATGCTAAAACGGCAATACAGCATATCTCCGTTGTTATTGATCCGATCGTGGCGTGTGAGGTATCGTCGGAAAGGGGAGAAGGTAACGATCACGTTAACGCAAAAAACAAACGCAAAGACAATGTCAAAATGGCATTACGCATTTGCATGGTTCAGAGACCTGGACTCAAACAAAACGTAATGAAAACATGTTAGGATGTTTCGAGATAAAAGTACTTAGGCCTATTAAGCAGCAAATATCAATGGAGTGTGGAGAAGACTATACAACTTCCAACTTTATAGAATATACAGATTGAACGAAATAAATTCGGAACATAGGAATATAATGTATTTCGGCTCAATTCTGCTGTAGCTGGTTGGCCAACAAAAGATTGTCAAATAATTATATTATAAAAAATCCCATACTTCAGTGGGCTGCTGGATTCTGAACTCATAAAAATTGAAAGCTACACATAAATCTACGATTATGCTGTCAAACCAGTTATAGTCCAGGAAATGTAGCATTTCACCTCGCAATTTTTTCGTGCGGCGCGGATTAACTTGAAATTTAACAGAAGGTAGGTAATAGCCTAAGGATCAAAATCTATATCGAACCAAAGTGCGCCAAAGCCTAGGGGGTGGTTGCCACCCCATCTCCGGGGTGAAAATTTTTTTTACGTTTTAACTACAGGTTTCGATTAGAAAAGTGATTCTAAACAAAAAATGTGCTATACATTTTTCTTATAAAATGATATTTTTCAAGTTATTCGCGATTGAAAGTAACAACTTTTAGACGAAAAAATCCACGTTTTTAATCGATTTTTCGGGAATAACTCGAAAATGGTGCATTTTATCAAAAAAATTGTAGAGAACAAATTTGTAGCTTTTAAAAAGACAAATACAATTACAAATACAATATCAATGTTCAGCGGTTTTCTTCAAATGCCAAATTTGAAAGATTCAATTTCAAAGTCAAATATCGGGAAAATGATGCATTTTTGGAAGAAAACTCACAAAACCTTTTTTAAAGAGAATAAATAGACCTATCATAAAAAAATAAGGTCAATACCTCATTTTTTACGAAAAAATCGAGAAAAACAACACCCTAACCACCCCCATAATTAAAATCGATCTTCACCCTTCTGCAATTCCCTTTGTAGATGTATTGTTAATACTTCCAAGAAGTTTGACCCATTTAAAATGCTTAGTTTTAGAAAAAGTACAGCTTAAAGCGAGAAACGATTTACAATTTCATATTTTTTACCCTTCTTTTTTTAAATATGCCAGAAAATACTGAATATATGAAAAAAATAAAAATTACCAAATTGTAGCTTTTTTAATGACTAAAATTATCCTTTATTTAGATTTGTTGTACAATGAATATTTGTCGAGATATAGCCGTTTAAAGCATCGATTTACGATCAAGCACCATCTTTTTCGGGCCCTTTAAACTCACCCCATTTAAAAACCAAGGGTTCCAAAAAGATTTAATTCACAGATCCTTGTAGCTATTAAAAACCTCTACAAATCGTTTTTGAAGAAACATCTATCGTTAAAAATTAAAGGAAATACGTTAAAAAACCAGTTAATTTTTTTCCGGAAAATTCCATTAGTATAGTACAGTACATTTCGGAGCATAATAATCTACAAAACCGGTATATTAGCTAGTGGGGCGTTATACATTCGAAATTTTAAGCGTTCTTATTTTGAAATCCCATACAACAGAATAAAACATCTGCTCATATGTCTATGGCTTGGCAATGAAAATATCAGAGCAACAGATTGGGGATGGTTTTCCAAAGATGGTTTGTTATTACCCGTACGCATGAACAAACAACCTGCACCCGATAAATTTTTGAAAATTATTTTTTGCCAATGCAAAAAAGGATGCGGCGTTTTATATAGGTGCAGAAAAGTTGGTTTATACTGTAACTCTACTTGTTCTGGGTGCTCAGGTGAAGGGTGCAATAACAGTCCACCAATAATTGAGGAAGATGATGATGACATAGATCACGATGAAGATGTAATTGATGACGAATAAAATTAATATTATAATTGTTTTACCTATAAATGTAAATATTTTCAACTATTTATGTAAATGTATAAGAATATATGGTGCCTTTTTATGTTGATAATTTTATTTGTATTTAATTCTACTTTTTTCAATTTATATCTTATAAATTAGTTTATAAAAACTTCAATGTTGTAAAGGGTGATTTTCAAAAGTTGAAAAGTTGCAAAATTTTGGCAAAAAATTGTTTTCACCTATAGCACTCATAACAATTGATTTTTAAGGGTTGAAAATGTATGAATTTGTATTTTAAAGTATAAAAAACTCACTATTTAACTAATCCAAACCAAATTTCACTCATCTTAGGATTTGTAATATTATTTTACAATTTTTGAAAATTAGGGGTAGTTTTCACCCCTAAGAACAATCAGAGTTCATCGGCATGACATAAACTATAAAGCAGAGGATGAGTTGAGCTTAATTCCAAATTTTTATGCAAGTCGTTTCAAGGTGAAATCATTTTCTTTGCATTACTAATTTTTTTATATTAATCTCTAATGAGGGTCGCTTTTTAAGGGTTGAAATATGATGGAATTTTATTGAAAAGCACGAAACTATCATTATTTAATTAATTCAAACCAAATTTTACCCATATTCAGGTTTAATATGGTATTTTATAATTTTTGACAATTAGGGGTAGTTTTCACCCCTAAGAACAATCAGGGTTCGTCGACATGACATAAACTATAAAGCAGCGGGTGAATTGAGCTTAAATCCAAATTTTTATTCAAATGATACAAGGCGAAATCATTTTTTTAGAATTAGTAATTTTTTACATTAATCTCTAACAAGGGTTGCTTTTTAAGGGTTGAAATATGATGAAACTCTATTCAAAAGTATAAAATAATCATTATTTAATTAATTTAAACCAAATCTTACCCATATTCAGGTTTAATATGTTATTTTAAAATTTTTGACAATTAGGGGTAGTTTTCACCCCTAAAACCCTTCAGCGCACTTCAGTTCGATAGATTTTGATCCTTGGGCTATTACCTACCTTCTGCTAAAATTTCAAATGGATACATGCAGGACGAAAAAATTGCGAGGTTTTAACTTTTTTCGAGCTTCAATTCCTGAACTATTTTCGCCTCCTTAGACAAACCCGTCTTACGCAAACAACTTTGTTGCGAGACAGATAGTTGAACGATATTTTATACAATGTCTATACCCAGGTATGGATTTATTTTTGTCCAAGTTTTATATTGGTCCACTATTTTAAATGCAGTTCAAACAGACATGTATTAAATTGTATGTTCCGTTTTAATTTGGTTCAATCTGTATATACCAGAAACCAGATATCGTAAAATATATTAAGAGGTGGGTAGCGCATGTAATGCAGATGAAACAAAATAACCCAACTAGAAATATGCTCCTTGATAGACCAATTGGTCAGAGGAGAAGAGGAAGTGGCTGCCACTGCTTAGTGGAAGAAGGCGGCGGATAGGGACGACTGAAGAGAAATTTTTGAGGAGGCTAGGACACACACAGGCTAAAGCTAGAATTATGATGTTGATGATATTTTTTAGATGATAGTTTTGATATTTTTCTTTTACTATTATATAGTCTTATATCGATTTATGTCTAAAAACGTATTCGAGCTTTTTAAACTTATTCTTGATAGCGAAGTGTCTTAATTCATGTTTATTGATATTTAAAAGCTGACATATACGCTATAACACTATTTTTCTTAACTCTACAATTCAAGTTACAGTAGAAACTGTGTTCTGTTTCAGGAAACACCACCTTTAAACAAATCCTACATAGAATATTTGATACTAAATAGCTTCGGTGTTCAACTCAATATTTCCAATAAACTTCAGATGAGTTTATCAGGATCTAAAGGTCCATTATGCAGAGTTCTGGATTATTTGTTCCCATATAACTTATCGCCTTATATGCCGATGGAGGGTGTTCACCATAAGTAAGTAAAACAAATTAAAATGTTAAAACAAATAAAAAATGACAATGACAAAAATGACCATTTTATAATTTTTTCTAGGATTTCATCAGTAGAACATGTGGATATTTGCGACACGCTGAATAACGCCGTATCAAATTTACTTGATCAAATATACACACAGTTTTTACAACAGTACTACTCGCATGTGCTTGGACTCCAGGTACTAGTCAATACATTTGCAATCCAACCAGCAATTGAGGTAAGTAATTAAAATTCAAAACTTAAATATATGCCGTATGTTTCATGTTTAATAATATTTTAGTAGCATATAAAATAACTGTTTGACTGTTTTTTATCCTGTATATTCAACACAGATTTATCCACTGGATAAATCTGTGGTCCATTTTAATAGAAATGGGCTCAACAATGCACCTGGTCACACTTATTCTGTACTAAATCTGTATCAGTCCAATATAGCAACAGTACGACTAGATCAGAAATTCTCACACTAATTCAAGACTGAGAAAGGTGTTATTATATAAATTAAGAATTTAGCTGGAAACTCTCTACGTAACTCTCAGAGTAGCTGAAGATAGAGACCAATGAAGAAAAATTGATAGGAATATTGGAAGATATCACGATCGTCAGTAATGGGGAAACGACAAGAGAGAGAGAGAGAGAGATATTAAGGCCCCAGTACACATTTGGCCAACTAGTTGGGGCAAGGTGTGCAGAACCACTTGGCGTAACTACGGGATTGGTGGCCAGCATTGGTCTACAGACCAAATGTTGTCGGTTTTTCGTGTACATATTAAAAGATTTTGGCGCGATCTGCCAAACAGCGTTCATACCTTCGCCGTTGGTTATTTCTTTTCTCCGGTGCTGTTTTATATTTTTGCAAAGTAAAAAGTCTATGCCACAATGACGTTTGAATAGTGAAGAAGTTTTAAAGTTTATAGATTTGTCTATATCCTTAACAAAAACAACGTAAAAATAAGAACAAAGTAAGTACGTTCATTCACTTGTGATGTCCTCTCATAGGAGTCACTATCCGGGTAGCTTTTAGACAGTCAGAGACAGAGTTCAAAACAAAAATAAAACTTTATTGTCTTCCTTAAATTAAATTGACAAAAATCTTATGTACATATTTACAATTTGGTTTAGTCTTCTCAGTACCTGGCCTATTTATTCAAATTAAGTTTGACCTTGTCATATGAAATTAGTCTTATCGGCAAGCGAGTGTGTATTTGAAATTTTACGGGAACGTTGTATCGATTTAATAACAGCGGACGATAGGTCCAAAGAAAGGAAAGGAACTCAACACGTCCCTTAAGTGATTCGGGTTAACAGGACACTCCTCGACAGTCTCAACGGGTAACGGCGGTATGGGACGGAACAACTTGTGAACTCAACACGTCCACAAGCCGGGGTAGGGAAGAAGAGAACCTTCAGTCAACACGTGTCGATTCTGTCTCTATGAGGAAATGTTGCGGTTTATATAGCGGAGCTTGGTAATTAGTTTTGCCCTTTCTACTGTCGATACACTCCTACTTCATGGGTTGGTTCGCGCGCACGCTGGTTTAACGGTGATGGCTTGGACTCATCGTTACACACTCTGACAATTAAGTTCATGTTCATCCTGTAAAAGTCAACATATACAAACTTGATGTATTCTTATAATTACTTTCTCCCGTTTCGATGTCTTTTATGCCATTGTTTCTTAATCACTTTCGTTTGCTGTACTTTCTATAAAAATTGAAAGCGCTGTACAAATAAATTGCGACGGCTGCTACAGACGGCAGCTGCTACAGATTCCACATCACGATAGATAAAAGCGAAGATGATACCGCGCAGATGTGGGCGGGCTATTAAACGTCAAGTGACGTCAATACGTGACGATCTCGACATTTGTTTCAGCTATTTACATGGAGGTTGTAATGGTTGTAAGCTTTTGACGATTTTTTCACTCTAAATATTGTTTTGAATTTAAAAATATTGGTGCAAAATGAGGTATGGCAGGTTGTAATGTGAACAACCAGTCAAAGTGTTTTAGGAACGATGTTTTTTACGTTCCCAAAAGACAAAAGTGTGAGAAGTGTTTCGCGGCAAAGATGCCGGCGAGAAGATCATTTTAATTTAAATACTGCTCGTATTTATTCCAACCATTTCACCCAAGAGGATTATGTGCGAAATTTAAAACATGAACTACTAGGATACACCCAAAAACATTTTTATAGATACTTAAAAAAAGAAGCTGTTCCTTCAAAAATTTTACCCCTCCCTTCAATAAAGACTTGTTAAGGGAAAAGCAACAAGAAAGAAGACAACAAAACAAAGTGTTGTAGGAACTTTAACAAGTGTAAGTATTGGGAACTTTTCTTGTGTTTCAATTATTTCTGTTATTTAATTTTTTAGAGATGTGATACTAACCATACAAATTTAAATAAGAGCAATGGGAATGGTACTGATAACAGTTGCACTAGTAGTACAATTTCAGGTGATTGCTTGGCAATAAATGTTCCTTGTACTAGTTTGTCAGTACTTGTTTTTTTAATAATTATGTACAATTTTTGTAGTTAGTAGCCTTGGTAAGTGGCCTGGGAATCAGTAATAGATCACTTTATAATGAACATATACATTGATATTTAAATCTAATAAAAACGGTTTTATAAAATGTTTTCTATTTTTTATTTAACCCAAAACCCTAGTAAATCTTGGAAAGGAAGTAAGTATTTAGTTTATGTTGAAATTTAGTCGTTTTTCTAAGTCCACATAAGCTATGGATAGGTAAGAGACCTGGAATAAATCCCCCAAGATGCATAGCTATAACCTGTTATGCACAAGTTCCAGTGAAAACAAGAAAGAAAATGGACAAAAGGCAATCGAAGGTTGATTAGTTACGAGGGAGAAGGTACAGAAAAATTTTTAAAAGATTTTGTGGATTGTCAGAAATCAGTTCAATTGCATCTATACGATAATACCTCCCTATGTATCCCAGAATTTTTATATATTTAATGACAATGATTATATAGATATTTTTCAATTAGAACAAAATGAAATCGATGATGAAATAATCTGGCAGAATGATGAATATATAACCTAAGAAATCGTAATCAAACTAAAAAGCTTTGACACAAATTTCCACTGAAGAACAAGTTGCAGATGTAATGACCAAACTTCTAACGAAAATAAGAAATCAGATCCTTCTTTCAGAGACGGGACTGTAGATGCGAAAAACCTTTTTAATAAGAAAAAATTTAACGAATTTGAATTACTTTGGTATCATATTTTTATATTATAGTATCATGCTCCACATCCATAATCATAGTACACCCACCACGAAAGGCCAATGCAGACTGAGTAATTCCACCAACGTGTAATCACTGTTCTGACTTGGCCGAACTTATTGGCTCAAATCATTGACCCAACTAGTTGGCCAAACGCGTGCTGGAGCCTTTAGGCTTTAAAAAGTATTTTTGGTATACTTGGCTATAATCCATATTTTTTTCTTCGAAAGCTGCATTCATTTATCCTTCTTGTCTTTATTATATATTAAAAATAAACACTACTCAGCAAATCTTAATTTAGTACTTCTCTCTCTTCAATCCTGACCCCCAAGGGGAGTGTAGTGGTCGACGTGATGTCGTGTATTGTCCGTCTCCAGAGATCTCTGTCTCTGGTCATTTCTTTTAATTCATGCATAGGTCTTTGGCATATTCCTGTAATTTGATCTATCCATCTTGTTGGGGATCTTCCTCGTGATCTTCGGCCTTCTACCTTTTCTTGTATTATGAGTCTTTCCATGTTTTTTGTGTTTGCCCTCATAACATGCCCAAAATATTTTAATTGTTGGAGATGGACTTTACTAGAGAGTCGTTGGCTAACTTTTAGCTCTCTTAAAATTGAATTATTTGTTCTACGGTCGGTCCAAAAAATTCGTAACATTCGTCTCCAACAGAACATTTCAGTGGCGTCTATCTTTCTTCTCTCCGATTGTCTCAGAGTCCAAGATTCACATCCGTAGGTCAGTATTGGGAATATTAAGCAGTTGATTATCCTCATCTTTATTGCTCTTGAAATTTGACAGTCCTTCCATATTTTGGTCATTTTTGCTATGGCAACTTTTGCTATATCACATCTACGTTTAATCTCTTCTTGTAATAAGCCTGTGTTTGTGATTAATAATCCCAGATATAAGTATGAGCTCACAACCTCGAACCGGTCAATTGTGGTTATGTGTGGATGATTGTTGTGTAGTCTATCCACTATCATGATCTTTGTCTTTGATATGTTTAATTGCAGACCAAATATTGGACTTTCGTTTTCTATCAGTCGTATAAGTTCCATCAGCTCTGCTTGACTATTTGCAAGAAGGGCTGTGACATCTGCGAAACGTAGGTTGTTTAGTTTATGACCATTTATTGAGATGCCCTTTTCCCATCCTTCAAGTGCTCTTCGCATAATATACTCCCCATATATGTTGAATAATTGTGGAGATAGTATACATCCTTGTCTGACACCCCGTTCTGGATGAAACTCGTTCGAAAGTGTGTCAAGTACTTTAACTGATCCAGTAGTGTGTTCATATAGTTCGGTTATAATCGTAATTAGATGTTGTGGTACGCCTACTTCTTTTAGTATTCGCCATAAGTGTCTCCACTTGACCCTGTCGAACGCTTTACGGTAATCTATAAAACAGATGTATAGTGGGATGTTGAATTCCCTAGATTTCTCAATTATCTGTCTTATATTCAGCAGGTGTTCTCGAGTGCCTCTACCTTTGGTAAATCCAGTTTGCTGTTGTGGAATTTCTCTTTGAATGAATGTTTTCAGTCTTTCATTGATTATATACTAATTGATCTTATTATTGCCAAGTGCCGGATTGGCTACAAATATTTTTATATAGTTGTTGTTTATTTACCTGATAGATTAAGTTTGGTAGACTTTGAATATTTTTTCGATTGCTTAGCACAATTTGATTACTTAAATAATGACTGTATAGTACTAGGCGATTTTAATGTTTCAAGGTTTATAGATAATGATATGTCTGATTTTAAAACTTCTGTAGTTTTAAGTTTTGCGGGCTCTACTGGCCTTAGACAATTTAACAATGTTGTTAATCATTTGGGTAGACTGCTAGATTTGGTCTTATCGCATTTCAGTTGTGATGTGAAGCATGATGACTCACCTTTGGTCTATGAAGACTCTCATCATCCTGCTCTTCTAATAACATTTACGGATATATTTGTAAAAGAGCCTAAATTTAAGTGTGGTTTGAAGCAATTAACTTACAACTTTAAAAAAGCAAATTTTCCTGCTTTATATCGAGAAGTGTATGAAACGGATTGGAATTCTCTGGATACTTCTAATGACGTTAATGAGATTTTAAATAACTTTTATGATACGATTTTTTCTGTGTTTAATAAGCATATTCCAGTTTATAAAAACTTTAGCCATAAATACCCCCCTTGGTTCGATGCTGATATCATTCACAACATCAAATTAAAAGCAAAGTCTAGAAAAAAGTTTAAACGATTCAAAAACCATTGTGATTTGCTTGAATTTCAACGGTTAAGACACCTTGTCAAATCAAAAATCAGTTTGGCATACAATGTATATGTCGAGAATATCCAAATTGCTTTATCCTTCAACCCCAAGAAATTTTGGTCTTATGTAAATTCAAAAAATAATAGTTCAAGAATTCCTGGTGTGATGAAATATAATGACATTAGTACCTCCGACCCACAAAATATTGTGAATGTGTTTGCAGAATTTTTCAAGAGTGTTTTTCTGTCATCAGATATTAATTTCAAGGCTAACTCTTCCTCAGTTAACGCAGATTACTTAAATTTTTATCCTATTTTAGAGTCAGAGATAATTTTTGCAAGTAAGAAATTGAAAGACAAAATGACGTGTGGACCTGATAATATTCCATCCTTTTTGGTTAAGGATTGTATAGGTGCCTTAACTGTGCCACTTTTAAAAATTTTTAATTTATGTCTTCTTAACAAGGAATATCCGAGTCTCTGGAAGGAGTCAAAAGTGTGCCCAATATTTAAAACTGGTGAAAAGGGTCAGGTAGAAAACTACAGACCAATTTCCATTATTTGTAATCTATCGAAAGTCTTTGAAATAGTTTTGTATAATCGTATTTATTCACACACTCATAATCAGCTATCTCAATATCAACATGGTTTTGTCTCCAATCGGTCCACTGTGACAAACTTATTAATGGTCACACAATATATCTCAGCAGCCCTAGATAATAGAAGTCAAGTTGACGTCATATATACTGACTTTACGAAGGCATTCGACAGAATTCACCACGGCGTATTACTTTCTAAATTGTGTCTTTTTGGTCTTTCTGAGGATGCCTTGACTTTTATGAGGTCCTACTTGTCAAATAGAACGCAGTTTGTTGCTTATAATGGTTACAAATCGGAAAAGTACCTAGCTTCTTCAGGGGTTCCACAAGGTTCTAATCTAGGTCCATTATTGTTCTTGTTATTTATTAATGATCTGTGTGAATCAATTTCTGCACCATGTTTATGTTATGCCGATGATTTAAAGATTTATTCATTGATAAGCGACCTTAATGATTGTCATTTTCTACAGAGTGAACTGAATCGTGTACATGAATGGTGTAATGCAAATCATTTGAATCTTAATGCCAATAAGTGCAAAGTAGTTAGTTATTCTAGGAAACAGTCTAATATATACCATCCTTATATTATCGATGGCAATGAACTTGAACGATTGAATAAAATTAAAGACCTTGGAGTTACATTTGATTATAAACTCACCTTTGTTGAACATGTTAATTTAAAGGTTAAAGAAGCACTTAAATCTTATGGATTCATAATTAGAAATAGTCGAAATCTCACTAATACTAAGGCAATTAAATTACTTTATTACACTTTTGTACGCTGTAAACTGGAATATGCTTCTGTCATTTGGTCACCTTTTTATGATGTACACATCCAAATTATAGAGCATGTGCAGCGTAAATTTTTAAAATTTTTGTCTTTCAAAATTAACGGCATATATCCCAGGAGGGGCATCAGCAATAGCGAGTTGTGTAGCGGTTTGGACGTAGTATCATTAGAATCTAGACGAATTAATGCTTCCCTAATATTCCTGTACAAGCTACTACATAATCTCATTGACTGCCCTGATATTCTTCGACAAATAAATTTTAACGTTCCATCTTATCCAGTGAGAAATTCGATTACGTTCAGAAATACACAAGCTAGAACTAATCTTATGTTAAATTCTCCTCTATTTCTCATGTGCAACTATTATAACTCCTTAAGTGCTTACTGCGATATATTTCACTGCAGTTTAAAGCAGCTTACTAGGATGGCTGAGATCTACCTAGGTGATTAAGTAGTTTCTTTATGTTAAATACTCGAAAAATGTGTTATTTAGTTAGTACCTATGAATTATTAATATTTCATTTAACTTTAGTATTGTATTTTGTCCTATAAATGGATTCTGTTGGACAATAAACGCTATTATTATTATTATTATTATTATTATTATTATATGTAGCATTATCTTGCTGGCATGGGATATAAGAGAGATAGTTCTATAATTGTCGCATTTATGGAAGCTGCCTTTTTTATGTATGGTCGTTATTGTAGATTTTGTCCAGTCTTCAGGCCATTGTTTGGAATGCCATATTTGGTTACAGAGTAGATGAAGTAACTTTACGCCTGTTTCTTCTGTGGCTTTAAGCATTTCTGCTGTTATCATATCTGGACCTAGTGCTTTGTTATATTTGAGCTTGTTGATAGCCTGTCTTACTTCAGTACTTAAGTGAACAATATAATTAGAGGTACTGTTTAATAAATGTATAATGAGTCTTTGTTATTCTTTAAGGTTGGCGATTTCCAGTCGGACAAAATGGCAAACATTCTGTTCTACGCATCCAGATGTCTTCTAGGACACATCAACATGTCTCCAGTAGCAGTCGAAGCATGCGTCATAGACATTTTTAATAATCAAAATATTGAAAATATACAAAGAATCCGACGACACGGATCGTACCACAAATCGGAAATTGTTCCAAAAACCATTACAATTTCAAGCAGGAATTTTACTACTGGAGTTCCTAATGCTTTGAGTCAACTAATAGTACGGAACCAGAATGGTAAGGTTTGACTTGAGATGTAGTTTTAAGTCTCTGAACATAACCCGTTTATAGTAAGCAATAAAAGTTGGACAACTTACAAATTCATAGTTTTTGTCATGTCAAGCTTTTTCTGAATTTGATAATAAATCAGGCTTACCCTTAATATTAAACGACAATAAACTTCAAAAGTATTAAATTTACTTATAGGAAATGCTAATACTGTTTGAAAGAGTATTGATTCCTTATTTTAATAAAGTGATCAAATACATGATGTTTTATTTAAAATGATTATGAATGTTGATATAAATCCTAGACAAGACTGCTTACGGTCTGTATACACAATTTTTTTTGAATTTCATGGAATTGTGATTGTCAATAGATTAGTTCAGGGCCTTCATCTCGAAGATGGACAAGTGCCAAAAAAAAATTAGGGTTTTTCCTGTTCTTTTCAGTGGTAATAGTTTCCTTCAAACACGGATGCGAATACGTTATTTTCAGCTTCAAAGTTGACGGTTTATTTCAATAACGGACTTCTGCAGTGGAGATTTATTTCAAAAACGGACGTCTACTCAACAGCCAATGGGAATGCTATATTGTGATCACATGACTGCGAACAACAATGGATGCTATTGTTTTCAACTTGTCTGATGTGGATCGTTTTATTTGTGTTTATCATTAGCTTAAACTGTTTGTGTATATTATTAGTTTAAAAAGTAGATTAATAGAGTCAAATATATTTGCGAGTCAAGGGAGGACGCGTAAGAGGAAGGGCGAGCCTGAAATATGGAAAAAAAATCATTCAGAAACGGCAATGGTAAGCCTAATAATTGAACTCAATCATGCAGGTACTTAAGATTTTAACTTTATTGCTGTAACAAATTCCAGTTAATCACCACCTGTTAAGTTTTTTTTTTTAATTCAGAGATTCCTAATGAAAATTCTACCCACTGACTTAGTGTTTACCCATTGAATTAACGAAAGTTTAATTATTTTCTTCTTTTGTATATTACTGCAGGTAGTGAGTCAAAGATCTTCATGATCTCAACTACTGTCATCTGTCAACTCACTCTGTCATCTGTCAACCTGTCATCATCGAGTTAGATACTAGTGCCCGCTTTTAAAAATGCATGTCATAGAGTTCCCCACAAAGTTATTTTGAAGTAGTATCGAGCTAGGCCCACCTAGCCCCAAAAGAAAGAAGCTTGAGACTATAAAGGAGTAAACTAGAACCTTTCAATATTTGGTTGTAAACGAAGAGGTATTGCAACCTGTTACTAAACATAGGATTATAGTATTCCAAAAATTCAAGCACGGTGTGGAAATCCGAAGTGGAAACTACAAGGAAGTTTGTATCGAAAAAAGTAATTTTCAAGCTATTGAATCACATTATTCACATCACACATCACGCGTTTACCTACCATCAGACCTGAATATCGAAAAAATGTTAATATTCAATGTTGGTAAAGAAGAATATGAGAAGGTTACTCAGAGATTTTTCAGGAAAATATTTATGATATCAACATTGGATTCTCTTACCCTAGCATTAATGAGTGCAACACTTGCCTAGAATTACAAAACCTTATTCAAATAGAAAAAAGAGAGGAAGAAAAGGTGTCTTAATATGAAAATGGAGGTAAACAAAAAACAAGCCCAAGCCCAAGAACGTTGTTTTATACAAGGACAAAGCAACAAATTATCCAACGAGGTTGCTTCCATTTATTCAATGGGTTAAATTCATCTAATCTTTCAAGATATGACTCAATTCGTTTGGTGAGAATGGTAGAGAAAACAAAAAATCAACACGATTGTGACGAAGAAGAATATCGTGTTATTTTCGAGAAATATAGGACGTTTAAGTTGAATGGAAGGCATTGGGTACTTTAACTGAAAACAAGAAGCAAAAAGTTTGATGAAAACAGCGGCAAAAAAATAAATAATTCAAAAAATATGTTTTTATATTTATAATTTTTACAATACAGTACCTACCTACGCAAGAGTTAGACACTACAAAAATGGCAACAATGTTAGAAACAAAAATTTCAGTAATTATTCTAGTAGTGCTAGTATTCTAATTCGTTAATGTAAAGAAGGTGGAACTTTTTACTGACTAATTGACTTTTAAGGAACCTCCTTTTTATTTTACGATTTGTCACAATCTATAAGAAATGCCCAACTTTATGATTCACTAAGAATTTATTGGTTATAAGCGTTTTGGGAGGTTTGGCCCGTATATTTCCACTTTTTGTAACAGTTTAATAATTAAATAGTACGTGATGCACTGGAAAAAGTGAAACCTTACTTTTTACTTCTACTTCTACTTATAATTATTTGTTTAATCCAGATTCAGCCATACGGCTCACATTCCCTCTAAGGGGTAAATTCACTCATCCCATTTACCCACGCTATCAAAAGGATTGAGCTCAGGTGGGACTATTTCCGTGTTATCGAGCCCTAGGTGACTCCGTATGCTAGAGTATCTCCCAAAAATGTTCGTCCACATCTGGACGTTGACAGTAGTACAGCTTTCTGCATGGTCTGGAAAGATGTTCATTCAGCTTTTTTATGTTTTCTAAGAGGTTCTTTAAAATGACTCCAGTAGTAGAGAGAATAATAGTTATGGTCTGGGTACTTTTCATTCTCCACTGTTTTCGTATTTGAATTTCCAGATCCCTGCACTTGGCGATTTTTTCGTTCTGTTTAACACGAAGATTGTTGATGTTGGGTACCGCCACATCAATTAATGTTGTTTGTCTCTTTAGTTTATAAACTAGTATGAGATCTGGTTTATTATGTGCCATTGTTTGGTCTGTGAGAACAGTGCGGTCCCAGTATAGCTTGTAGTTGTTATTCTCAAGTATACTCTCAGGAACGTATTGATAAGATGGAAGATGGTTTGTTTGAAAAAGTTACAGTTTGATAGCTATCTCTTGATGAAGAGTCTTTCCTACTGGGTCGTGCCGTTTCTTATATGCAGTTGCAGCAAATTCCTGACAGCCTCTGGTAAGATGGATGGTTTCCTGAGCTTAACATCCATGTCGACATTTGTCATTTTGGATCTGAGGGTCTTTGACGATATATTTCAGGTAATTTTGGGTTGGTATAACCTGATCCTGAATGGCCAGTAGTGAACCTTCTGTTTTAAGGAACATCTTTCCTTATGTCAGCCAATAGATCTGACGAGATTGGACAACTTGGAGTGAGTAGTGAAGATGGTTTTGATGTTTAGAGGAAGAAGAGTTCTACTAATCTTGTCAATGACACTTTTTATAAAAGGTAGAAAGATTTTAAGTTGATCTGGCGGCAAGTTTTCTTTTTTGAATTGAATGGGGTTAAGATGTTTTTAAATGCTCTTATTGATTTGGGTTTTGTGGTAGCCGTTTTGTAAGAGTGTTTGCATTATTGAATTAAATTCGGATGACCTGTGATTGTTGTCGCTAAGTCTTATGGAATGAGAAATGAGAGTGTTGACAACTGAATTGGGTTGGGCGGGGTGATGATGTGACTGGGCATTAAGATAACGGTTTGTATGAGTGGGTTTCCGGTACACGGAATAGAAACAACTGTAAGGTAAGTTTTTCTTAATAAGAACATTAAGGAATGGCAGAGACGCTTTAGACTCAACTTCCATCGTGAATTGAATACTGGGATGTATTCCATTCAGGTGGGAGAGAAAGAGATCTAATGTGTCTGGGACCAAATGACAAAGGTGCCATCAACGTACCGTAACCAGCAGGTGGGTTTGAGATTTGATGAGGACAGGGCTCCTGTTTGGAAATGTTCCATGAAAATATCAGCTATTATGGGAGAGAGGTGGGATCCCATTGGGACACCTTTAAATTGACGATAAAAATGATTTTGGAATGAAAAGCACGTATTAGACATGCAGTGTTTTATAAGAGATAGTGTGTCTTGGGGGATTTGATGTTTAGAGTCCAAAATGTAAATGGTTTCATCGATGGAAATGTTGGTGAACAAATAAACAATGCCAAAACTAACTACTATATCTCAGGATGAAATAAAAATGTTTTTCAAAAGATCGATAAAATGAAAAAAGTTTTTGACAAAGGACGAAGCTTTTTCGGATAAAGCGAGATGTTTTGTCAATTTCTGAGTGGGGCAGCTGTATGCACTGATGATGGGTCTTAGGGGAACATTGGGCTTATGGATTTTTGGAAGGCCTTCTAGAAGAAGAACTTTGGAAGACTGCTTGATGAAAACTGAATGCTTGGTGGTAACTGACTGCTACGGCCGTTGGGAGCAAAGTTATTTTTGTACAAGCTGACGCTAGGTGTGGGCGATAATTACCCAGCATTCTGCACTTTGGTGTATGAAAGAACGGTCCTTTGTCTTTAACACAGTATTTATCAACCGTTCATTGTTTTATATCGTCTGTGTTTTTGTACACGGAATCTTGGTTAAATATACAAGGAGAATCACAACTAACATAAAGTCTGTTAATATTTTATAAATGTTTATATACATTTATGAAACGGCAACAATATAAAATATTCACTAGGTAGCATTTTTCCATTCAAGGAAAAGTTCTGGATTTTGTTTGACATAGCTTAGTGAATATTACCTCGTTTATATGTATACAAAGTATGATTTTTTTGTATCTGTTAGACATAATAAATATTTACTTTCGTTTTTATAGGTATTCCCTGTGATGGTGAGATGTTCTTTAGAACAACAGGAAAAGCTTTGCAATCGTTGATAACAAGGCATCCAGATGAAAAATCTGACAGTGTGGAAGTTGCTCGAGAAGCTCTAAGAAGGGCTTCAATATTAGGAGAACCGATAAAAATTCATCAAAGGTTAACCAGATATAAAAATAAACATCTAGTGAGTAAAAATTTATATTTATAGTTGTAATTACGTACATTATACAAAAAAAACCTGAAACCGGTAAATTTTTATTTTTAAACAGGCTGTTAATAATGATACCTTTTTATTTTCAAGAATTTTTTCAATTTTTTCAAAACCGGAATTAAACCGGTTGTTTCGAAACAGAAATGATTTATGGCAGCAAGATGGTGCGCCTCCACACTAGGCTGTCATGGTAGCAACTACTTAAACAATGTCTTTCCAAATCGATAGATAGGTCGAAGAGGAACAATAGAATGGCCGCCTAGATAACCTGATTTTACTCCTTTTGGTTTCTTTTTATGGGGATATATATATAGGAATAGGATTTTAAGAGACCTGTATTTTGTAACAGTTTTGTATCATTTATGTATATATTTTTGTTCTACTAATTCTAGGGTCTCCGTCCACTATCTGTCCACGATTCCATGGGTAATTATTTAGTAGAAACCATAGGCAGTTCAAGATTCTCTAACGACACATACTGGGCCCATGCTGCCTTAGATAAAATTGGAAAATCCATAATAATAGTTACTTTGGAGTAAGTCATAAATCCATTCAATTACTGAATAAGCTAATCTAACTATTTTATTCATTTCAGACATGTCATAAGAGTTAATAAATGCCGATTGTGGGGACCATGGGAAATAGAATGGGTTGTTGACTTAGATGACATAATATCGATGCCGAAGATTAATTGTATTGAGCTGATATTAAACATGAGACAGGTAAATACTTTGATATATACACGGGTATACACATACCAACATTAAGTTTTTTTAAAATAACATTTGAACATACAGTAATATTTTCCTTGGTCATTAGAGTTTAACAGCGTACAATACTTGGATGGTGTTATGCAACAATGGGTCAAGCCACATTATTTTTGCTTATCATTTTATTCACGAAAATCTAAATAACAAAAACCGTATTTTAGCTGAAACTGTTAAGAGTTTCTATTTCTGGATTATTTAATAAGAGGCATTTGATAAAGTTCAACATAAAAAGCTTGTAGATATATTAAAAAGCAAAAATATTGACAGTCGTGATCTGAAAATTATATCTAATTTATATTGGAATCAAACTGCCAAGGTAAGAGTTGACAGCCAGTACACCGAAAATATCAAAATACAGAGAGGAGTCCGCCAGGGTTGCGTGCTGTCCCCACTACTTTTCAATGTCTACAGTGAAGCGGTATTTCAAGAAGCGCTCTCAGACTCAATAGAAGGTATATCTATCAATGGAGAAGTTTTGAATAACTTACGTTTTGCAGACGATACAGTAATAATTACGGATAACAACAATGATTTACAGAACCTAATGCAACGCCTTAATGAACGCTGTCATGAGTACGGACTGAAGATAAATTTAAAGAAAACTAAATGAATGATCATGACTAAATCTGCACATGCAAATATCCAATTGACTATTGAAGATACTGGAATTGAGAAGGTTAATAACTATAAATATTTAGGAACATGGATAACATCAGATGTAGACCAAACCAAAGAAATTAAGACACGTATTGAAATAGCACGTACATCATTTATTAAACTTAAAAAGTTTCTTTGTTGTCGGGATATAAGGTTAGAACTACGCCTGAGAATGCTTCGATGTTACGTGTTCTCTACTCTTCTTTATGGTCTGGAAGCTTGGATACTCAAACAAGTTCATCTGAATAAGCTGGCCGCCTTTGAATTTTGGTGTTACAGAAGAATCCTACGAATATCATGGATTCAAAGAATGTCAAACATGGAAGTAACTAGAAGGATAGGAAATGAGGCGGAAATAATATTAACTATTAAAAGACGAAAACTTGAGTACTTGGGACATGTGATGAGAGGGCAAAAATACGCATTATTACAACTTATTATGCAGGGCAAAATCCGAGGAAAGCGAAATGTGGGAAGACGAAGAATATCCTAGCTTAAGAACTTAAGGGAATGGTTTGAATGCAGTAGTGCAGAACTTTTTAGAGCGGCAGTCAACAGAGTCCGCATAGCCATGATGATTTCCAACCTTCGATAGAAGATGGAACTTAAGAAGAAGAAGATTTCTGGATTATTCATAGATTCTAGTAGATCTTCATTCATCTTATCTTATATTAAATTTTTAACTTCTTATACATAAATGTACATGTTCAATCATAAGCAGCTTGCAAATTCTCTTTTTCGTAGTTCAATGCATCTAAGATTTGTGTTTTAAAAGTATCACAAGAAACACAGGTGTCTTTTTTGATAATATACTTGAAACAAATTACAAATTCAAGAATTTTTAATTGAGAAAGGTTTGTACTTTGAGGCATCGTATAGTAAAAAGCAATTGTTGGAGGTTGTTTATAGTAGACAGTATCAGAAGGAATATGTTGTTAATAACTGTACTCGCAGTAATGGGCATACCGTGCTTGGACTTCATCCTTACTATTGTACATTGTACCCAATAGAGTTAATATGGACTCAATTTAAAGGAAATATAAGAAGAAGAAACGTGGCTCCTAAATTTTCGTCTTGTATTCTCCAGTTAATTAAAAGAGAAGTTACACAGATCACAGCAGCCAACTGGAAAAATGTAATCAAACATGTAATCGCAGTGGAAAATGACTATGTTAAATATTTACCAGCATTAACCAAATTAACTATAAATTTAAAAGATACGAGTGATACTAGTGGTAACAGTGATTCTCAGTAGATTAGTAAGTACTTACTTCGAACTAGGTGTTAGCTGAAACGTTTATTTTTATTGTAATTGTAGATATTCACGTTTTGCTTATATATCTTTGAAAATAGGATACAAACACACTTCATGATAGAACAAAAACGTACAAAGTATTTAATTTAAAATAGTCAAAGTACAGGTTAGAATAATACCTGCTAGATATATAAAAAAAGATGTTCATAAAAGTTTTAGACCTCTTACCATTTTTAAATTATTGAGGTAAATCTTCTCTTACACGGTGTCAAACCAAAGGTGTGGTTCTTTAATAGAATACCCTGTATATAATTTAAAAAATGAATTCTCTATTTTTTCCTGATTACAATAACTAAATTATCAAGGATAAATGGGCAATAAAATCATTGGATCAAAGATCAAGGATAAAAAGATAAGTTTTAAAACTTATGAGCAGTTGTGTTAATAAAACGTTTGTATACTAAAATAGTTGTACATAAAAAATGTGTTTAACTGTATGTGATAATTAAAAGATCAGCGCATACAAAAATTAAATGGCGCTGGGCCGATCACATAGCCAGATAAGCTGACGGTGAACATAACAGGTGAACGAAGAATGGATTATATACGAACAGTAGAAGGCAAACAGTGGATTAGATTGGAGCAATATAGGGAAAATTTGAAGCAATTGGAAGAGACCTACATTCATAAGTGTACGTAGTATTTTTAAACACAAAAATAGTTAACAATCCTATTGGTAATAACAGGCGCGAATGACAGATATTGTTAATGTTGTTTTTAATATATGTTTTCTATATTTTAGAATGACTCAAGCACTGGTAAAATTTCCCAAATTAAAATCGCCGGCCAGAAGGAAATGTTGGTGTGGCTTCATGAGAAAATAGAACAGGCTATTATTGTTAGCATGGAAGACAAGTCCTGGGCACTGACATAAAATCATTATTGGAATACAGAGGAATTAAGACATTTTGAAAGGAAAAAAGAAATCTAGAGATATTTAAATGTACATTAAAAATTTGTGTATATTTTGAATCATTGTAAAAAAATAAATATATTAAAAGTTGAGCACATTGTTTTTTGTTTATAACTAGTATTTTTTTGTATTTTAGCCTTGGTTTAGAACTTTTAGCCACGTAATTACGTACAAATATTAGTATTCATTTATTCAGGATTGTTCAGGGAAGACACTTTTCACGCTCAGGGGTTTATCAGAGCGACTTCATTGTAAGAAACAAAAGATCCAAAGTTAGATAGGTGGGCAACAAATAGGTACACATACAAAGGAAATATCCATTCAAACGATCAAATTTTTCATTCACACCTTTAATTTTTTGCAGAAATACCAGAAGCAATGTTAAAACTTTTTGTGTTATCTTCGCTTAATAGTACATTTAAGTTTAATGGTGTCTTTAAACCTGTTTTCAGTAATTCTTAAAGCAGCCACGTACTTGTATTGACATGTAAGGTGCAGTTAAAGAATATGCGATTTAGATCAGCTATACCTACTAGTTCCACACTCACATTTGTCTTGTGAGATTACCGATTTTATGTAGATGCTTCGGAAAACATTCATGATCTACGTTTAATCTTAGGATAGTCGACACTGTATTTCTACTTAGTGCAACAGTAGATGTTATAAATGGGTTCTGGCTCACTTTTCAAGATATCGGCCAGAATACAAGCATACGTAAGCGGGTTCTGGATCAATTTTCAAGATGGCGGCTGTGACGTCAGCAGACTGTAAGCTTATGTGTCCTCGTGTCTCTAGATCACGCCCTCGGCTAATGGTGACGTAGGAACACCCCCTTCGTGTCTCGAGGCCACGCCCCTCGACCAATGGTGGCATAGGAACGCCCACAAGTAAACACCTGACCAATGGTGACATAGGAACGCAATTTCGTGCCGTTTTCACGTCAAATGTCACGTCCTGCGTCGAATGTCACGTGTTGCGTCGAATGTCACGTCCTGCATCGAATGTGCATTGAATGACAGACGAAAAGAAGAAGAATTGATGCCGACGTCCAATGAGAACGATGTGCATTGACTAATGGTGGAGGCACCTCACAATATTAACGAAAAGACACCCCTCCATTCCCTCCAATAATAACGAAGATACGCCATTAACGAAAAAACTTCCAAACGCCCCCCCCCCCATTCCCCCAATAATAACGAAGATACGCCTCAACGTACACCAATGACGACAGCTGAAAAGAAGACAAATTGACAGTAAGCTTGCGTTCTGGCCGCCATCTTGAAAAGTGAGCCAGAACTCGCTTAAACATCTACTTGCAACAACTTTGTAAAATTGGTTCGCAGCCACTGTTGTTTGTAATATATAGAAATTAGTGCCGATAGTTTCACCGAACTGAATCCAACGTCTATCCAATTTAAATTTAATATGGTGTCTTACATATGCAAGGAGATCACATGTATTAAATTCTTCAATCAATATATATGAATGCTTTAGTGGATTTTTAGCTATTGAATCCGCAATAAATAAAAATAAAAACCATTCTTACTATTATGTTATTTATTTTTGTATAGACAAGTACATAAAAGCAATATTAGATACTAAAATCGTATATTTACATCATATGCGTACAAAAATCACATAAATAAAGTCTTCATCTCAAATTTATCTTCTTGTGTGCCTCTCGTTCCTCTTTATAAATCTTCTGGCAGACTAGATAATCCCTGAACAATTTATACAGGACGTAGTAATTGAAAAATAATATAAAACTTAGTGATATAATGTGATACCACACGGTACTACGTATTAACAGCATAAGTTGACACAGAATGAGGATTATCAGAAAGAAGAGTTTTAACCCTAGGAATGTTGTTGGATTTTTGAAAACGTGCTAGAAAAGAAAAAATATTATTAATAGTGTTTCATTTTAAATATATGATTTATTTAAAGTAAATAGTGGCGTCACCTATAAATCATGGTCAGCATTGCTAGGTGATTATGTATTTCTTTGCTGACAAAGTTGACAAAGAGATTGGAGTATAATTTGCTACAGAAAAAAAAAACCTATAACTCTATTTTGTATGTTTTTGGTGTGGATGGTTCGATTTCCTTTTCGTCGTTAGCAAATATGAATTGCCAATTAATATCATACAAACCATCGAAAACATCTACTTCCATAATCGAATACAGGCAAAGATACATGCAAAACTAACGGTGTATACCTGTATAAAGCGGAGTCAGACAGGGTGACTCGTTAAGCCCACTTCTCTTTAATATAATATTGGACGAAATAATGCAAGCAGTACGTAAAAGTCATGGTTACAGAATGGGGAACAAAGAAATCCAAATACACTGCACCCCAAAATTAACGCATAATTTTAAAAACCCTGGTAAATTAAATAATTTTAATGTTTCGATTTTTGTGCTAATATATTATCGTTACCCCCGGTATATTGTAAAATTTATCGAAAGAACGGTAAAAAACGCTGATGTTTTTATCATTTTTTTGCAAAAAATTAAAAACATGCTAATTGTGCTTCATTTTATTTCGAATTTAGTTGGGTTGGATTTCGTTGTGCTGAACGTTTAAAGGGGTTTTTCAAGTTTATTAAGTGTTTTTTCTTTGAAATGAACCACCCGCAGCAAGAAAATGGAAATTTGTCAGAAAGTGACTGTTTTAGAATCGTTACTTTTCGCGAAGAAGGATATACTCAAGTAGAACTCGCTGAACGTTTTAACGTCACCCAGTCAACAATTTCAAGAGTGTTAACACGTTTTTCTGTTACTGGAAGTAACTCGAGAAGACCCGGTCAAGGCCGTAAAAGGGTTACAACTCCTAATCAAGACCGGTTTTTGACACTTCGTACACTGAGACAAAGGTTTGTTTCCAGTACTTCTCTACAAAATGAATTTTTGGATCGTTATAACTTTAGAATCAACCCAAATTCAATTAGAAGAAGACTTGTCGAAAACGACCTACACCTTGGACGGGCACCAATTGGCCCATTATTGACCAGAGACCATAGAAGGCAAAGATTGAATTTTGCTCGTGAACATGTTGATTGGAATAATGACGATTGGGGAAGAATATTGTTCACCGATGAATCCAGGTACTGTCTTTTTTCTGATGACAGGAGAAACCGAGTGCATAGAAGGCCTGGGGAACGCTACGTACAGTGTAACACCGTAGGGACTGTACAGTATGGCGGCGACTCGGTAATGGTATGGGGTGGGATTAATTTAGAGGCTTTGGGCTTTGGGTCGGCTTACATCGCAGAGGTATATAACAGACATTTTAGAAGAGCATGTCGTGCCATTTGTACCATTTATTGGGGATAATTTCATGCTTATGCAAGATAATGCCAGGCCACACACGGCAAGAATTGTGTAGCAGTATCGTCAGGAGGTTGGAATTCCTGCCATGGATTGGCCTGCGAGAAGTCCTGACCTTAACCCAATAGAACATGTTTGGGACATCATAGGCAGACGACTACGACAACTACCTAATGCACCAAACACATTAGATGAACTGTTTTTTGCGGTTGGTTGAAATTTGGGATCAAATTGATCAAGAAGAAATCAGAACGATTATTCTCAGTATGAGAGATCGTTGTCAAGCAGTAATAAATGCCAGAGGAGGCAATACTCGATACTAGTACACGGTAGTAGTATTTTCTTCAACTTTAAAAACTTTTTCTTCATTAATTTATGATGTTAGTTTGTTTAGATCAGTTCGTTTAGATGTTATGATTTATGTTAGGATGTTATATTGTTAATTTCAATACATTTTTTGTAAAAAAAGAATAGTTTTATTTAAGATGTTCTAAAACAACCATAAAGCAGAAAAGAACAAACAAAATTTTTTTCATTACAACTCAAAATAAGAATTTTAAAATTATGCGTTAATTTTGGAGCGCAGTGTATTATGCTATGCAGACGACACAGCATTAATCGCCGAGACAGAAGACGAGCTCCAAAGATTAACACACATCTTGAATGCAACAGCCAAGAAATACAATATGATAATACCAACAGAAAAAACCAAATGTATGACGACATCTAAATACCCACTAATATTAATTCCAATAATTTTACTATAAAATCTGGTGTTCCACAGGGCAGCGTTCTTGGACCAATATTATATGTGCTATACATAGCAGATCTACCCTCCACTAATGAAACCATCATTGGCACGTTTGCAGATGATGCTGTCATCCTTGCAGCAGACGAAAATCCAATTATAGCATCTAAAATTTTACAGGTACAACTGAATGAAATCGAAAAATGGTCTTACAAGTAGAGAATTAAAATGAATGAAACAAAATCAGTCCAAGTGACTTTTACCTTGAGAAGAGAACCGTGTCCCCCCAGTTTCACTTAACAATATCCAACTTCCCCAGTCCTCTAGCACTAAACACCTAGGAATACATCTTGACTCATAACTCATCTGGAAAGAACATGTTCTTTAATAGCGGAAACAAATTGACCTAAGAATGAAAGATCTAAACTGGTTAGTAGGCAGGAAATCGATACTGAGCCTTGAAAACAAAATCCTTGTATACAAAACCGTCATAATACCTATCTGGACGTATGGAATCAAACTCTGGGGATGTGCGAGCAAGTCAAACAGAGCCATAATTCAAAGATGCCAATCAAAAATACTCCGAACGATAGCTGATGCACCTTAGTATGTGTCAAACCTAACACTTCATGAAGACCTAAGAATCCCGTTCGTACAGGATGAAATCACTAAATACAGCACGAAGCACCATGAAGCACTGGAATCACATAGTAACCCCTTACTCCAACCTCTGCTAGAACACCAAACCAATAGGAGACTCAAAAGGAACTGGTCAGATGTCCTGAAAAACGATTAAAGTGGTCTTGTCACTGGAGAAGACCTCACCACGCCAATATAAGACCCTTGCTCCGCATCCAGCAAATTAGCTTATAGAACTTTATTTGTGTTTTGATTGCTAAAGAATGTGTCATAATAAAAAAAAAAACTGCAACACAAAAATACTCTAAATTACGTCTGAAACATCAGTCAGGAATTTTAACTCTGCTAGACGATAGTAAATAAGCTATACTTACATAAAACCTTTTAAATCCCACATTTCCGGGCTCGCTGGAATTGCAGTCGCCCAAGGCTCTCCATACGTCTTTCCCGTACCTGACGAGAGCTCCATATGGCCACAGAACATCTTCTTTCCAAACATTATTTACAAGTAACATCGTTCTTCCAGTTTCAATTCTGTCCCATACGCCCAAGTGTAGCGCTGATCTATGGAGAGTATCACAGTAGCGAAGTGAGAAAATGTGAATTGAGAGAGAGATAAAACCGCTTGTAAAGATAAAAAATATATGCTGTGCAGCCCACCATGTATCGTAATGTAACGAAGACTGCAACAAATTTATACTAAAATAAAAATATACACGTATATATTAGGAGTAATTATATTAAATATGTTAACTCATTTTTATTGGTATGATTCAAAATTTTTGACCAACATTTATCTACTTACTAGCAATCTAAAGTCTCGTGATATCTTCTATAATAGCAGATATTACAAGAGCACTTAGATCACCTCAGGCATTCCAAAAAATGTTGTTCTTATGGTTCCCTATTCAATGAATAAATGTTGGCAATTACTTTGGCAAATTTTTCTCTATTCTCTGTTGGTCTTATTAGTTAGGTATTCATAATTTAAATGGATCCAAGAGAGTTTTTCTCTTAAATCTGTGTTTTCCTTCACTTTTGTCTTTGTGAGTAAGAATATATCTGGTTTCGAACTATATATAATATATTTTGTGTACTGTGGCGATGTCAAATTATATAGTCTTCTTGGTGGTAACTTAAATGATGTTTATGAGAATACCATTTCGTTTTGCTGGCAGAAATGGACCAGCCTCTGGCAGAAATGGACCTCTATTATTTCTATCCCCCAGACCATATTCTCCCACTACATCTGTCACACTTTCTGGCATTAAATTCACCCATTATAAGGTTCACTTCATGCTTTTCCGTTGTCTTTACCAGTGTAACCAATACCACAAGAAGCAAAGGAAACTGATACTTCACGAGCATCTATTACACGAGTACTGTCTTCTAACCAGTATCTAGCAAGAATTAATTTACTTCTTAACATTGGCACCATGTTGGTACGTTAAAATATCCTGTTAGCCGGTTCTGGAATACATTACATACATGTTCCTGATATTATCCGTTTAATCCCGAGACAACACCGTGAATAAAAATTTCTGTTATAGTTGTAAGAGTGATTCTATTTACAATTAAATAATATAAAAATACGAGACTGGCTTGATATAAAACTAGTCTTTGATAGAAAAAACAAGTTTTTTGAAATTAAATCGATTTATTTCTCCCCTTTAAGCTCGATACGCTTAGTAAGACGATGTTCCAATTTTTTATCCCATCTGAATAGTACTTTTGCTCGAGCTCTTCAAAATAGGCCGAAGTTTCAGCGATTTGTTGCGAAACGGCGTCCTCCGAGCCATTTTTTTAGGTTTGGAAACAGGAAAAAATCGCTGGCGGATTGGATCCCCAAGATCTGGGGAATACGGTGGGGATCTGGGGAATTGTTTTTCTTTTTCCAAGTAGTCCATGTGGATGATGCCCGTCGCATCCCAGAAAACAGTCGCCATCACTTTGCTGGCGGAACGTGCACTCTTTTCCTTCTTCGGCGGCCCTTCGCCGCGTTTGCGCCACTGTTTCGGCTGTTCTTTGGTTTCCGGTGTGTAATAATGCACCCAGGCTTCATCAACGGTGATAAATCGGCGAAAAAAATCCTTCTGATCGCGCCGTATCATTGCCAAAAGCATCTCCGAAGTGGTCACACGTTTTTGCATTTGATCGATTGTCAGCAAACGCGGCACCCATCGTGTGGATAGCTTTTTCATGTCCAAATGATGGTATTTTCTCCGAAAATACAAAATTTGCTTGCTTTTGACGGCTATAAAAACCAAACTAATTGTTTTTAAAACCTAAAATTTTGACAGACGTCATGTCGTGAATGGCAAATGTCAACACCGAAACCAATTCGGTATCAAGTAGCGTCATCTATGAAAGACTAGTTTAATATCAATATACTTCACAGAAACTATTTCATAATGAATTCTCCTTACCTGAGCAAAACAACAAGGAATGAATCCAGCATAGTAGGCGTTACAGATAGCCGTAAATAGAATGTCTTTCATTCTAGCATTAAAATTGCCTACAAGATTCTCGACTTCTTTTCGTATTTCTACAGCACTTGAACTACATGCATGCAGAGGAGGATTAGCGGAACTCCATTTGACTATTTCAAAAAACGGATGGACATTCCGACCAAAGAAGACAAAGTAAATCAGGAATCTAAAAGAAATACATAAATTGGTCGTAAAATAATTGGTCTTAAAAATTATGGATTTAGCAAAATTAATGTTTTTAATATGTATTATATTCAGTATTATTTATCGGGTGGATATTTGAGAATTTGTAATTATGAAACATGATTTTTGTGTCTTGTCACGATTCAAATTGTCAAAAAAGTGATAACTGAGAAGTAATATGACACCTTCTCTTGATGAAAATCGATTATGATATAAATTAAATAAATTCAAAATGTCTGATAACCATTCGTCTATATTGTGTACGCTGTATTCAGCTTGTCTATGCATCGAAAATCGTCGGTTCATCTTGGAGGACTCTTTATTTCTAAAAGCCTTAAATTTTAATGTTGCATTAAAAGGGCGGGAAAAGTAGAAAATCTGTGTTGTTGACATTCGCTTGCATCGAGCAGTTATTGAAATTTTAAAATAGCTACTATTTAACAAGCATAATACATGTACACGTAAATATCACACACTCGCCAGGTTTGTTTTTGATTTTGCAAGGGAAAAAAGCTATTTATTTAATGCTTGTTAACTCAATGAAAGAAAAAGTTTCTCCCATTTTTTTCAATGGTAATTTGTCGAAATAGGTTCAATCTCTATTTATGTGCAGCTTCTAGACAAAAATGCACCATGTAAAAAGTTGTGAGGACTAAAAGTTGGACTAAATATTTAATTTCTTGACTCTAAGTAGTGATCTAGTATTTATAAAAATGTACTTACGGATAACATAAATACAAAATCTTCTCCAGCTTGTGATTCTGCATCACAAGGACCAAGCAAAACCCCAACATCATAAAAACTTTGGTAAATAAAAAGAATCTAAAAATGGAATAACACTTAAAAACAATAATATTTTATTTTAACTATGAACTATAACATGTGAGACATATACTACTCATTTTAAAGGAAGGTTTCTTAATGGTAATCTACCAAAGATAACTACGCTTTAATTTTGTCAAGGTTAAATTTAAATTAAAAATTTGAAGTTTTAAAGAATCTAATGATTCTTTAAATGATGTATAGTCAGATCTATAATATTAGATTAGACTAAACCCCAACATCAGATCTATAATATTATGAAGAATATCCAATTTGCATTTAGATAGAAAAGTCCAATAGACAAGAGAGGCCACATTTGTGTACAATAAAAGTTTAATTTAAATTGTGTTTGTAGATAATTAGTTATTAAGTAATATGTTGTTTAGAATATCATTTCAATATATTTTACTGCTTTATTTAAATCCTTCATTAATATTTTTCCGAAAAGTTGTGTTTCATACATTATAATACTTTTTAGCACTTGCTTACCTAAAAGTGTGTAAAAACTCCTGTTCAGGTAGTGTAGTAATCATGACCTTTTTCACTACTACTCGCATAATAATATAAATAAGTCTTCTACATAGTGTTATAACAATAAAGGCAACCAAATATGGGTCAATTAAGTAGAAATTCTAAAAATAATAAACTTTAGTAGATGGTATTTTGTGTATTTTACAATGTGTAATGATTCTCATAATCTCATAACCATCACATCTTATTTTTTCAAATATTTTATCAAAATATCTTTTATTATAACTTATTTTTCTTGATTTTGATCTTACAGTATGTTACTACCAATTCACAGCCTTGCTTGAAAAGTACTGTTTCAAATAGCAGCTAAATTAAGTGGGCTTATCTGAAGTTACTATATACTATTTGGTACATAAACATGTTCTTACCATGGTTTGATGTGTATATGAGTGTGGTAGCCACCAAACAGATCTGTATAAGTGTAAAAACTGCAAACCAGTGGAAGCCATAGCAAAAAAACACATCAAGCTCTCGAAGAAAACTTCATTGTCTACCGGTGTGTTCGGAAAGGGAAAATGTTTAGGAGAAGCAGGAGGTTCTAAGGCAGGAAGGGTTGGGACGGATGCTCCAAGTGGAGCATACCTCTGTCCACAAGGTTCATTTGCAAAACTTGATATGACTGGAGGTGAGATTGGAGTTGCACGTACAACGTTACGAGATACTCTTCTTGCAACTAGTGGCATTTCGCTACAAATTTATATCATGTTACTATGATACATTTGTGAAATAAGGATTGCAAATTATATTATTTAAATGCCAAAAAAGTAAACAAGACTCAAGCACAGCACACTCCTATCTAGCATTACCAGTCCAATATTAAAAATAAAATAAACGAAGATTGACGCATTGCCTTGTGCCAGGGTGCGTAACTATATATACATGGCGGTAAATTCAAAAGACACATAAAATATTTTTGTATTGTACTCATTTTAAAGTAAGGGAAATTCAGTACACTCTAAGATAAATTCTATACGATAATAAGTATATATTTTTTGTATACTATTTGAGTTTTCCTGTCATGTTGAGGCCATTTATTTTCCATTACATTAAAATTTCAAAGTGGTTAAAAAAATTAAAGAATAAAATATAGAATAAAATCTTTATTTATAAAAATGTTACAAGAAATGTGTTGAAAAATAATACAAGCCAAGTGTAGTATAATTTAGTGTTTTTAATGTTGTGACAAAAACTTGTCAGTATTTAAATAAATTGTTTTGTTATTCTAATGTCAAGTTTTATTTGAATACAAGACTTCTTAGACTTCTTGTGCTTCTTACCTGGTCGTAGTAAAAACAAATTCTAAACGGCTGTTCTCTTGTCCAATCCCTATATCCAACCAAATCCAACTTTGTATATCCGCTTTAAAATGACTAGCGCATACGTGAAAATTGTTATAAATAGTTTCTGTTGCAGCATTATCTAATTTAGGGCTCTTAACAGCATTCACCCATTTATCAAACATATTCATGTAACTTTGTGGAATTGGATAATGGTATTGATTGCCATCTGCAACACGTTTTTTGTTCAGTTCTTCATGTTCCCATTGTTGTTTCATGTATAATGTATTAGCACGTATTAGTATATATAATGTATTATAATGTATTTGATTCCATAATTAAAAATCATAAAATTGTATCTTTTTGTTCCGTTGCCCTGCTTTTTGCACTGATGTTACAGTATATTGCATTATATTATTTATCTATGGTATTTATTTAAAAAGAATTCTTTTTAATCAATATACTGTGGACAACCACAGGACCCTCCCACCAGGTTTAATTTTTTTGTTGTGAGTTGTGACAACAAACAAAGCATAGGATCAAGACTAGTAATGCCACCAAACGGAAGGGTGCACAAATAAAAACGTGAGTTGACCTTGGATTTGCTTGTTACCAACTTTGGACTTAAGAGTGACAATAAATTGACAGAATGTCATACTCAGACATGTCACAGATTAGAGAACGAGAACATCAATGAATCGAATTAATATTCCGAGATGGCGCCAAAATTCATTTTTGTGTTCTGATTTTTTGAGTGCAATTAAGCTCTGTATGTCTAAAATACGTTTTATTTTAGAAACGCAGATTAAAATAACTGCTATAAAGTCATTATACGTAACGGTTGTATCCTCTTTAACTATAATAGAAATACTGTTTATAACTTCTATTACTTTATTACGACATCTAACCATATTTATCTGAAGCAAAAAATAGCTGTTAACATAACAAAGGTATTTTATATGTTCTTTCTTTGTTTATTATATCGGTATTGCTAAATCTATTTCACTCATGTGGTTATCGCAGAGTACACTAGGAAACAAGAACAGGTAGACTTTCTCTAATTTGCAAACATTTCTTTGCGTTATTAAACGCAAGAGCATCCATGTTATAATTTTTCATAAAAATATAGTTTATAAGGTAAATAACCCCAAAAAGTTTCTTTATCTGAAAACATGGATCAAAAAGGTGGAAATAGTGACGATGGTAAGTAAATGTTTACAAAAGATGTTCATTATAAAAATTAATGTTATTTTTATTTTAGAAAGTGCCCCAGCCAAAACATCTAAACAAAATAACGTTTTACCACTCTGGGGCAATGAAAGGACAATGAATCTTAATCCCCTAATTCTGACAAATATCCAGAGTTCGCACTACTTTAAAGGTAAGTTTTAGAATGTATTTAATTTTCCTGTATGTCACTGTTTTTCCTTTGTATGTCATCTCTTTATAATATATTGAGTATCTAAGTATATAATATATTATTAGCCATGTAGTAGTTCCATATTTACAATAAAAGATGTATAAATTCTTCAGTTTTAGTATATGGGTCAGTTGGTATTCAATATTGCTATGTTTAGGATCAAATATTTACACAACTTTTTTTTTTCATAATGTAAAATTATTTTTAGTTAATCTGTATGAATTAAAAACTTACCATGAAGTAGTGGATGAAATCTATTACAAAGTAAGTCATCTAGAACCATGGGAGAAGGGCTCAAGACGTACCTCAGGACAAACTGGTATGTGTGGTGGTGTGAGAGGAGTAGGTGCTGGAGGAATAGTATCTACTGCATATTGCCTTTTGTACAAATTATTTACCTTAAAGTTAACAAGAAAACAATTAAATGGTCTCATAAGTCATTGTGATTCTCCTTACATTAGAGCTTTGGGTTTTATGTATATACGCTACACTTTCCCTCCTGCCAATCTTCTGGAATGGTATGAAGATTATTTAGAGGATGAAGAGGTGCGTAACTAAAGGTAGAGTGAAGTCTATCATTTTTTATAGATTTTGGTAGGATATGTGCACAGAGTTATGTTTTAAATTTTTGAGTGTTGTAGGAGCTAGATGTAAAAGCTGGTGGTGGCCAAAATATGACTATGGGGTTGATGCTGAGGCAATGGCTGGTCAAGCTGGATTGGTTTTCAACTTTATTTCCCAGAATTCCAGTTCCAATTCAACAAAAAATACAGAAACATTTAGAGGTAAGCAGTCGTTTATGGGTAGAAAATTATGTTTCTCATGGACAAATTATATTTATTTATTTATTTCAATGGTAGAACCATTTACAATAAAATACAACAAATAGTAAAAAGTAAAGATCATGTACAATAAACATAAAACAGTATATCAAATCACAAAAATTTAAAAAAGTATCTGTATCACATAGTAAGTATCACATATCTAGATTAATAATTAGATTCTTAAGTTGCCTTTTGAAAGCATTAATGTTTGGACAGAAAGGATCCAATAGGAGGTCATTGCAAGAGCTGAGCATTCTCAACAAGGGAAAATGACGACCATAATCAGTCCTATGAAAAGGAATATAAAAGAGTACAGTATGTCAAGATCTATGTATCTAGACGACAATTAATAACGTTGTTTAGAATTCTCAAACAAAAATAACATATCAGCTCTCAACCTGCAGTTCTTCAATGTAGCAACGTTAAATTGAGACATTAATATAGAATAATCTATGAAATAATTTTCAGTATTTTGTATATTAATATGTGCTTTAAAAGCTAAAGATCTTAGAAACTTCCTCTGAACTCTCTCCAATCCATCAATGTATACTTGATGAAATGGAAACCAGACAACAGAGCAGTATTCAAAGACCTGAGCGTATCAGAGGGCAATACAATAATTTGAATACAATAGGTGAGAGATCATGACTGTTACGATAAATAAAACCAAGATTACGAAACCCTATTTCCTTAATTTTAAGAAAATGGCTTTTAAATGTCAATGTAACTGAATCCAAGAGTGCATCATCAAGAACAATATTACCTATTAGATTATTTATATGACCAAATGAATTACAAGAACATTTAGTTGGATTTAAGCTTAAACCTTTTGTTGTGACCATAAACATATATTATTTACATCATCTTGCAGGAGATCTCTATCTGATTTATTATGTATACAACGAAACAACTTAAGATCATCAGCAAATAGCAGGAAGTGTGAGTTTTTGATAGCCTTAGCAATATCATTAATGAACAAGTTAAAAAACAAGGGACCACAATGAGACTCTTGTGGTACACCAGAATAACAATGAAATTATTTTGAAATATAATTGTTAATATGAACTTGCTGTGTACGTCCCATCAGAAAACTTTTAATCCAATTAACAATGGGTTTACCAAAGCCAGATGCATGAAGTTTGTGGACCAATAGATTATGATTAATATGGTCAAAGGCCTTTGAGAAATTGGTGTAAACGCTGTCAACCTGAATTTTATTCTCAAATACACCCAACAAGTATTGGTGGTAAGTGACAAGGTTTGTTACAGTTGATTTCCCGTTAGAAAAACCATGTTGTTCCTCAATAATTATGTTTCAGTAAGCCCAGGTGAGATTTATCGATACCAATTTATCAAGAAGTTTCGGGATTGCTGATTGAATAGTTATACGTCTGTAATTGTTAACACACTCGCAATTGCCAGATTTATAGATAGGTGTAGGAAAACTATTTTTCCAATATTGTGGAAATACAGATGATGACAATAATAAATTGAAAATTTGTTGTAAAGGTTTAAAAAGGGAAAAATACAGTTCTTAATAAGTGCTGCAGGTTACCATTAGACCCTGAAGAATATGTAGTTTTTAAACTCCTAATCTCCTTGAAAACATCAGTCAGACTAATTTTCAGAATCTGTGAATCCACACTATAGTCCAATTTAAAATTAGGTACATTATACTAACTATCATTATTGTACCTGAAAAATAACTGGCAAATAGATTGACTATTTCATCACCATTCTGAGCTATTACATACTTACCTTTATTAGACATTACATTAGGATAAGCACTAGACCCACATGTAGTACTAACATACCTCCAAATAGAGTGGAGATTACTTGAAAGATTTGCTTGCATATTCTCTAAATAGTTCTTATAACATACTGCTTGTAATGATTTACATCTTTCCCTTAACACTGAAAATTCCTCATATGAGTTGCCTGATGCTTTAAAATTCCTGCAAGCTATTTTTTTTGTATGACAAGCTCAGTTAATTCTCGCGAAAGCCAAACTGGAAAGTTTAATGATTTAAACTGTTTGATAGGAACAAACATATTGATGGCATCATATAAAGTATGGTAAACAATTTTCTAAGCAGCAATTTATATCTGATTCATCTAATACCTTGTTCCAAGGAATTGAAGCTAAATATTCATTTAAAACTTGATAATTACATTTTTTTAAAATCATGATAGAAGACATCATATTTAAGAAACAAATTTAAATTGGTTGCATGTAACAATATAGTATAAGCTGAATGATGTTGTGAAGTATTGAATAGAATATCATTTGAAATTGACACAACTGCATCCCTCTGAGTACAGAAAACTAGATCTAAAATGTTATTATTAAGGTTAGGCAAAGCATTTACTTGGGACATATTTTGAAAATTGTAGCAAGTACAAATAATATTCGCTGGAGAGTGATGTTGACATTCATCTGTAACACCATTACTAAGATTATCCCAGGATGCTTCAGGTAGGTTGTAGTCATCACAAATACAGAATTCACAATCACAGAATCTTTCCGCTAAGTTCAACATACAGGTGGAATGCTCCTCATATACTGACCCAGATGACAGTGGAGGAAAGTACACTGTACCAGTGACTAACTTTTTTGTGTAAACACACACATTACCTGTGTAAAAACATGTTCCACAGAGGAATCGATAGGCCTAACCAACATTGAATTAAGGCGCTTATGGACAGCAATAAGAACACCACCATGAGTATTTGAACTAGTTTGAGGGTCTCTGTCATGTCTATACACATATCATGTATGATCAAATCACTCAATCCCAATTCAGCATCTAAGATTCTAGGTGTAAGCCATGTTTCAATAATAATAATATCATAAGTAGAGAGACTCGCAGCATTTTACTCCAACTCCAAAATATTAAGACAGTTTTTTTGTAACTTTTGGTCACATTGTCTTAAATTTTAGAAATACTTCTCTTAGATCATCAAAAATTCCAGATTTATTAAAAAGACTACAGTTGTTTCAATAACAAAGGTTATATATATATATATATATATATATAATATATATATATATATATATATATAATATATATATATATATAAAGGATAATACTATAAAGACAGATGAATTTAGACCTATAAATATACTTTCGCCCATTGAGAAATTATTAAAATTGGTAGAGATAGATACAAACACTCCTGACCATGGAGCTGCACGAAAGCGGAGTCAAAATTCACATAAAGGCAGAAAGGTTCTATTGTAAGTGGAGTTATGCTAACCAAACTGAAACTTTCTACCTTTCACATTGCATAGTTCAATGCGTATCATATGGAAGTGGGGACTAAAACAAATTTCGTCTACTGCGCTGTGGTCAGGAGTGTTTCCACTATCTCTAGTATGTGATCAAGTCAGGAATCATATTGATAAAAATGAAATCCGAATGAATAGTCAGATTTTCGTAAAAAGTATTCTTGCAAAACTGCACTGCAATTTTTACTTTGTAAATTCAGGTTTGAATTGGACAATGATAAATGTTTAGTAGTAGTTTTCCTTGATCTAAAAAGAGCTTTTGAAGCTATTGATCATAATATACTTCTCACTAAATTAGAATGCTATGGTATTGGAGGAAATGTTCTTGAATGGATTAAAGATTACTTATTGGATAGAAAGCAACAAGCACGATGATATTACTTCTTCTGCAATTAGTGTTAATATTGGGGTACCTCAAGGTAGTGTCTTAGGACATTTGATCGGGTAAACCATGGGGTCCTCTTACAAAAACTAAGAGCTTTGGGTATTTTAGATCCCCTTCTTCAGTGGATTACAGAATTTGTTAGTGGCCGTACGCAGACAGTTAACTTGGGAAGTGACACTTCAATTGAAATAACAGTTCCATCAGGCGTGCCACAAGGCTCCCATTGTGGCCCTGTTTTGTTTTGCTTGTTTCTGGTTGATTTAGTACAACAAATCAAAAATTGTAGTGTTCTTATGTTTGCTGACGATGTAAAACTGTTTAGAAAAATTCAATCCTGGAATGATGCTGTTATATTACAGGAAGATCTTAAATCGTTTTATGATTGGTGCACTTTAAACAAAATGTCACTCAATATAAACAAATGTCATAAAATGACATTATCGAGGCAAAGAAATCCAATTACATTTGTTTACTACATAAATAACTTGCCATTAGCCTCGAAAAATGAAGTATTAGATTTGGGAATTTGGTTAGACACCAAACTGTCATTCTCAAGCCACATTAACCAAGTAACAAACCGAGCGATGAAAGTGCTGGGATTTATCCAACGCACATCTGTGGATCTGTCTTTATTTACATTTAAAAGACTTTATTGTGGTCTCGTTAGGCCCATTCTTGAGTTTGGATCAGTTGTATGGTCCCCATCATACCACTGTTACATTCAACAGATTGAAAGAGTCCAGAATAAATTTTTGAGGGTAGCAGCCTATAAGAGTGGATACAGGAGAGAGGAATACGACTATCAGTGGGTAAGAGATAGTCTTAACTTACCAACACTTGAGTCAAGGAGGACATTGTTGGATTTATGTTTCTTACACAAAGTTATCAATGCTTTTATAGATTGTCCTCAGCTCTTATCGCTTGTTAGTCTTAAAGTTCCTAGTAGAAGCAACAGACAATCAGAAATCTTTTCGGTGCCATTTCACCACACTAATTATGGTATCAATGAACCAACTACACGATTGGTCCGGAGTGCTAATAGCTTGCCAAGACAAATAGATATTTTTGACTCCAAAATTAGTTTGTTTAAAAAACAACTAAAAAATATCTTACAATAAGTTGGTTGTACATCTGTATTATTCTTATATGTTTGTATTATTCTGAGGTGTTTGTTATTTTAATAATTTATTGTTGTTAAGGTGTAACTTTTTAAAACTTGTGATTGTTATTTTAATAATATATTGTTTTTAAGATGTAACTTTGTAAAAATTGTAAGTAAATGGATGCCGTATATAAATAAATAAATAAATAAATAAATAAATATTGGGGTACCTCAAGGTAGTGTCTTAGGACCCCTTTTGTTCATATTGTATTTAAATGATATAAACTTAAATGTGATTTCTTTAATTTCAAATTAGTTACATATTTTTTAGTACCTATATTTAATATTTTCCAAATAAAGTGATTTTTTCTTCCTCTAAAACACACTTTTTGTAGATAGGGCATATTGCTTGCTCACTGTCGCTTTGGTTGTAATATCACACATTTTTACTCATTTTAGTTTTAAACTTCTAACCATGACAGTTTTTGGAAAGGAATCTAATTTTGAATTAATACAGGGTCGTTTTCCACCACACGCCGTCCAAGCAGCTTCAGAACGTGCGAGGGAAGACCGAAAATACGAACGAGATAGGACTCGTCAGGATCGTCCAGTTCGAGAAGATATCCACCGAAACTTTCTACGGGACGACGACCGTAGAATAGATCGAGATACCAGATTCGACAGACGGGACAGAGATGTAGGACGGGACCGGGACAGGAAATATAGAGACCGAAGTCCAGTGAGACGAAACTCTAGGAGTCCTCAGCGGTCTCATAAGCATAGAGATAGAAGTAGGGATAGGCGGAATCGCTATTAAATAATTTAATTGTACCGAATTAATATGAAGATGTTTGTTTCTTTTTTAATATAACGTGTAAATTTTCAGAAGATATTTGAAGTTACCTTGTAATACAGCTCTCCCAAAATAGCTTTGTTTTCCAGAATGCACCATGAATGATGTCTTTTTATTTTTAATGTAGTGTTTAAATTTTCATGATTGCTGGCACTTAAAGGTCTGGATGGTGTATGTACATTGGAAAATTATCACCTTTGCATTGTTTTATTTTTGAATCAAGTCCTCTCAGACTTTGGATTAACATATCTTTAAAATCTGTAAAATTAATAAATACTGATTTACCAGAACTATTAATTTTTTGTTCAACAAAAATATATTTATATAGCAAACAGCTATATCAGGTGAAATATAACCTTTTTATAACAGAACATTGTTTTCTTTGTATAAGGCAACTATCATATACTACTAAGACTGAAAAATCTTAGAAGCATTGCAGGAAAGGCCAAAATAGATGCAGAAATACGAAAATTACATTTTTAATTACTGTTTAAGGTCGCGGCATATTATCATGCCCGTATAGTTTCCGGTACGTAGCGCTTCCTGTCCAGCAATCGGACTGCGCGTTCACATCTTCATACATAGAATGTTTAAGTTTGGTATGGTAAAGATGTGTTCTCGCTTTTCGTTATTAAATTAATTCGATAGTTATTCGATAAAATTCATTATTAATTAGCATTCACAGTAAGGGACAACTTTAAAACAATTTTTTAATCTGCTACTGGAAAGCTTGACTGGGAACAATTCCTATGTACACTTCTCAACAGTTGAAGTGGATATTATGAAAATGTGTATTTTATTTTTTGTTCAAAAGGTCAAATAGAAAAATGGAGTGATATAAATAAAGATTTATTTTTACTTCGTATTTTCATACAGATGAACCGAAAGAAAGTAATTCTTTAAGAAAAAAAAAATAGAAAATAAACCAAAATTGTAAAATTAACAACCTAAAATGTCTATTCCTGCTCAATTTCTAATACCCCGAGAAGAAAAATTAATAGTGTGTGGGTCCACCTCTGTGTCGCCTATTTGGAAGACCTCTTTTTAAATTATTGATAAACTGCTGCAGTATACGTTTCCAAATCGCGCGTAATGTATTGGCCAACTGATCTAAGGTTTGGGGCGGTTGAAGGAGCCTGTTTTGTTGCCTAGATATTTCGGCCCAAATATGAACAATGCAATTCATATAAGGTGAACGTGGTGGCCACTCCATTCTTGTAATGTCATGAGCTTCTATACACTCGTTGACAATTCATTATCATCAATCAGAACAAATTGTTCGCCTATTGCACCAAAAAATGGAACAACTATTAGTACTATGACTCTGGCTCGATATCGTGTAGCAGTCATTGTCTCATTAATTAAGACGACTAAGTCCGTGCGACCGTCAAAACATATGCCTCCCCACACGCAAACGGATCCACCTCCAAAACGAGTGGTTGGGACTCTCAGATTTTCATTGTAACGCTGTCCTCTTTCCCTTCACACCAATATTCGGCCATCATTCATATACAAACGAAATTTGGACTCGTCAGTAAAGGGACAATTCCTCCAATTTTCGAATATCCACTGATAGTGTTCCATCGCCCAGCGAATTCTGCATGAACGCTGCTCCCTAGTTAGTCGTGAATGGGTAGCGCGCCGTCTAGCCCTTAAATTGGATGCATGTAACCGGCTTCTGACAGTTTGACTGGAAATCGCTCGTCCAGTAGCATGCCTGAAGATACTGTTAATTTTGGAAGCCGTGAATGTTGGGTTTCTTCTTGCCGTCAGAACTACAAAACGGTCTTGCCGACGAGTTGTAGATCGTTCTCTCCCTCCTCCATCCCTGTATGTGGCAGATCCGGTTGCTACATACCGATTTCATGCACAACTTAACACTTTGCGCCACAAGTTATGCCTTGTTGGATCCGACGAACTAATTGCTCGAGCTATACTAGTTCTAAACGTCTTTGCGGTAATTTTGTGATAAATAAATTTCTTGACTTATTGACAACTGGTAAAGCCAATACAAGCACTTTTATACGAATGATATATCAACTATATAAATAATTAACAATTGTTAATTGTTACAGACATTATAGATACTGTAGAAAAACAAACATTTCATTTTATTTTTATTCAGTTTTGGGAGTCAATTAGCTTATGTATAAAATCGAATCACAAACAAATAAACTTTGAAGAATGTACTCCAACTTTTACTTTGGCAAAACACACGTGTAAATGATTTATATTAAACGTTTTATAGCTTAGAGATCAAATGACAAAATTATTTGTTTTCCCGAAGTTATCGTCCATCTTTGAAATCTTCAGCGCCCCCTGTCGGAATTGGCTATCGCGGATATACTGAACGGATACGTAAGGTATCTGATATTTACGTTCCTGAGAGTGCGAATTGTGCATATTTAAAACCATTTAAATTATATTTTTCGGAAACTTAACGCTACCTGTTGGAAACGCAACGTGCATGATAATATGCCACGGCCTTTAACGTTTTGATTTCCACTCCAGAAATTATTTTCAAAAAGATTATTTTAAAAATGGTGCGAAAAGTATAACCAACAAGTTTTTAAGCGGTTATGCGGTGAATAAAGTATATGTCAATGATCCTCTTACACAAGATGGCAGATATTTGTTTAATCTAGCCTACAAAACTAAAAACAAGAAGGTTATAGGTATGTATGGGTTGTAAATGGGAAAATCTATTTAAGAAAAATGGATGAAAGTCCTCTTATACGAATAATATGTGAGGAAACAATAATTCGATTATAATAAATTATAAAACAAAATGGCTATGAATCAGAATCTTCAAGCTCGTTCATTTGATAGTTTAGAAGAATTTTATAACACATGAATAGCCGCTCAATGAGAAACAAATTTAGTGAGATTGAAATCTTGTAACCAAATTGTACCTGATTTTGCGATAATAACGGAGTAATGGTTATATCAGAAAGAAGAAAAGTTCTTTAACATCAATGGTTGTCAGTCATCTTATGTAACCAGAGAAAAGCGAGGTGGTGGTGTTGATATTTTAG